ATCCTTGTCAGCATGGCTTGCAGGCCAAAGACCAGGCTAATTATCATTATAATTAAATTATCTGATTTAAATTACTTATTTTACTTTTTTCAATGCATCATTTGCTTATCTTATGTATTTTTGTGAAAAAATAAAACCTCGACTCTGATTGAATACGTAGATTCTCTGCGATTTTAAATATACAAAAAGCTCAAAAAAAAAATAGTCCGAGCTATGACAACGTTCTTGAAAGTATTTACATAACTAATGTCGGCGCCAGAAATAGATGGAGAAAACTCTAGAACGAATATCTCGAGAACAGTAGCAACTAGAAACCTGCGGTTTTCATCATTGAAAAGAGCGATGTCGGGGGCATCGATCGGCATAAAACTTATTAGGTTCGGAGAGTTCTTTTATGGATAATTTTGGATTGTCATTTTGTTCACTACCTTTTTTCATCATTTTTCAGAGGGATTTCAACCCAAATTATACCAAAATGTAGCCTGAGACACCATATATTCCTATAAAAATTATCATATTCTTTAGAAGCCTCATCGAAGGCAAACGTTGAAACGATAATAAAAAATTGTGAAAATTTTAGCCTGAATACAGGGTGTTTGGCGCTGCATATTGATATATTTTGGTTTAAAATTCCTCTGAAAAATGGTGAAAAAAGGCAGTGAACAAAATGACAATCCAAAATTATCCATGAAAGAACTCTCCGAACCTAATGAGTTTTATGTCGATCGATGCCTCCGACATCGCTCTTTTCAATGGCGAAAACTTCAGGTCTCTAGTTGCTACTGCTCTCGAGATATTCGTTCTAGAGTTTTCTCCATCTATTTCTAGCGCCGACATTAGTAAACGATAATTATTGTCATTTATTATTTTAGTAATATGATTATCCCTATGAAATAAAAAAGATGTCTTCTTGATTTCATCATTAACACAACAATTAATCTCTTTATATGAATTATACAAGTCTTTATTTTGGATTGTTATCAAGTGAAAACTTGAAAATCTTTGATTGAGTCAAGTATGCAATGTTGTCTAAATAGTTGTTTTTTAATGATTATCCCATCAGTCATTTACTTACAGGTTCACTTAGTTATTTCAAAATTTAAATTCTATTGAACTACGTTTCAGAATTGTCTGTAGAGTTTTTCTTAGTTTAGTAAGATAAGATCCCATTTGATACTGAATCTATAATCATTAATTAATTAAAAATTATCAATCAAAATGAAACAAAGAAAATTGTATAAATAATACAACTAAAACTAAAGAAATATTCACATACTGAGTATGTTGTTATTTCTTGCTTTAACTTTTCTTTATCGAATGTTTTTTTTACTTCCAATTTTCTGACAACGTAATTGGTCGAGAATGTAAGCTTGTTAATCATGAAGTCTAACGCGTGTTAAAGATGAAGTGTTTCTTATTTTAAAATCTTATAATTAATTTGTCCACTTTGACAGAGAATATGTAATTACTTAAAACACTTTTTAGCGTGTCAACATCATCATATTAAATAGATTTTTATGTTGTATATTAGATATCATATGAAAACTTTAATTTACATAAAACGACTCAACAAATACTATTCAAATTTTTTACCTGTGCATAAAATGCAAGAATGAAGTATTTCGCATTTAATCGATTTTATCTTTAGTATTTTTTCAGACATAATAAATCTGTCAGATCTTGTGATTTTGTTTAACAAATATTAGTTTTAGCACTTGACAAACGAAGTACAATAATTGTGTTACATTTGACAAATTTTAAAATCGTTAAATTGTCTTATCTTTTCTACTAAAGATAACTATCAAATCTAAAAACAACGATAGACTTTATATAGTTCATTGTCAACATATTGAATTGCCATCAGCTTATTTTTTTACAGTATAATGTCAAAATACAGTATAACCTCTATATGTGAGCACCTCCCAATAATGAGCAACTCCTTATACTGAGGTCTCTGTGGGCCGCCCGAGTGAATTTTGCTGGAAATGAGTCTCTCGATTATGAGCACCTCCTCATTCTATTAGTGAGCGCATTTTATTGGTCCTATGAGCAATAACAACCTCTATAATATGAGCAATATGTGTTTTGTAACTGACACATAGAATGAGAAAAAGAATGATTTTATGTCATCTGCTTTATTAAAAATAAGCAAAGGACACATATTTGACCGACATAGACTAATCGGACGTAATTAGAAGAAAAAAGTTACTTAGTAGAAATAACGTTGGTTGGGGTGACATGTCCCCATTTTTGTAATAATAATCGGTGACATCAAATAATGTCACCATGTGTCGATTTACCTCTATTTAGAAAAAGAACTTAGTTTTGTGTTGTAAAAAATTGTTATCTTAGAAAAGAAATTATTATTTGAATAAATAAATTATTGAAAAGAAGTACAATATCACTCTGTGCATTCGAAAAGTGTTTTCGGGTGAATATTCAGACTCTTCATAAAGGATCTAAAAACCTCCCAATAATGAGCACCTCCTTAAAGTGAGCACTTTTGACCGGTCCCAATAGTGCTCACATTAGAGAGGTTTTACTGTAAATATTTTTTCAATGTACAACAATTTAAATGTTAGAAAAATATCAATAATTAATGTCTTTCTGTACAAGACAATGTAAAATAATTTTTAAGGGTTTGAAAATAACTTAATTTTTGTATTCTCTCTGTCATAGATAATAATTTTAAAATGTATCTAACTAAAAAAACAAGAAGCGTCATAATAATAATATCTATCATATTAAATATATTCGTCGTTTAAATTTCATTAGAAAAATATCCTGTAAGAGAAGAGTTATTTCTTACAATACACTTGTCTGAAAAGAAACTATTCATTATTTTTATCATTTATAAAATTGTATTTATATTATTTCATTATTCATAGATAATATGTTACATAATCTTTTAGGATTCTAAACGATTATTAATGAGATATACATACTATTTTCTTAATTGATCTCTCAGGTATTATGCAATTCTCAATAGTATGTGCAGCTAAACAAAAGCGCACTTAATTTTCTTGATTTAGTCGGTTTCCTTATTATAATATAGCCTACATCTCTTGTTGTTTGATACATAATCTTAACAAAGATGCATAAAACATTTAATTTAAAAGAGCAGAATGCCTTCCGACGTAATGATAAAAGATATTATTCTGTATTTAGAATGATTTTTTCTGTTTCCTCTTTAATTATACTATCTTCATCTAAATCGGAAGAAGACAAAATGAAGTTTCTTTTTTAACAACACACATCTTAAATTAACAATGTTATTTCGTTTGTCTTTTTATAATGAAAAATTGATTAAGCACGCTTTGGTATTTTATTTTCTTTTGCTCATTCATATATTAATTTGTCTTGCTTGCTTCAAGTAAGTTTTACTCATTTATTTTCAATCATATATAATTTCGTAGTTAAGTCAGCAAAGAATCAATAATAGTTTTAGTGAAAAAAAAAACTATAATTTTCTCTGTAATAGTAGAAGTTGAATTACATAAAAGATGTTCCATAATATCTGAAGATAAATTATCAATAGCATTTCTCATAGTTTTCCTTTACGTAGAAGGTTGAAGCTTTTAATTTGCCAAAATTTCAAAACTCTAACTAAAACTAATACTGAAATGCATGTTCAAGATCAACATGCATGAATTCTCGTAGTTAATTTTTGTGACATGTTTATTTCTTGACCAGTGAAATTTATAAATATCTGATGAAAAGAAACTTTCCAAGAGAAATTTTTTTAAAAATTATAGATTATAATAAAACTCAATATATGTATGAACAAAGTCTTCATTGCTTTCTATGACTGATCGTAATTCATAAACTATTCGGTCTCTTATTATTTTTTTTCTGGTACCTTTTCTTTTTATAATTGTAATATTTTAGTATCACTATCTACTGATACTATACGTTCATTAAATAGTTGTGCTACAAATCGTTACAATTTTTTTGTTTTTGTAACTGAGGAATATTGAAGATAAAATTTGTCATTAAATCTAAAATATTTTAACTATAAATAGATTTATATATAGTTAAAACAAATCTTTCACAACTCTATCACAATTGACTACATAGAAAAAATCTGACAGAAATCGAGTACGTCAGTTCATGTATATTAATCTTGTCGATGTTTTTCAGTGCTAATTTTAGCTAGAAGATTGAAGCTTTATAAAGTTCAAGATCTTGGTTAGATATATGTATGATCAAAATTTTAGCCTTCTACAGCAAGAAAAAAGTATGAAAATTGTTGTTGACGATTTATTATCATTTATAATGAGATACCGTCTATGAATAGTAATTCGAATCTGTTGACTGAAAATATAGTCATAATAATAAAGCAACAAATCCCTTAGGTTATAAATGCAATAAGTTTTTCTCATTAGATCATACTGAATGGATTATCATGTTGAAAATCTTGATAGAATATATTAAAATAATTTATTAAAATATGATAATCTCTATATATTATTAAGAAAAATACTGAGATATGTTAAATTCTATGTAAATTATCAATCATATGAAGGATTCGTTTATCCTATTATTATTGTATTCAGAATGCTAAAATGATTTATCATGCTTATATCAGAGTATTTGTAGCAATCATTTTTTCAATATGCATTTTCTGTTTCATATTCATAAATTTGAAAAATGTTAAGAATTATGATGATATCTAAAAAATAATAAATTGTTACTTGTATGACTACATGATTTAATTAAATCGAAAAATTTTTCTAATTTATTTATATTTGAAGATATCATAGGAAAAGAATGCTACCATATTTTTTTCCTTTCTTTTTGTTATTCTTGACTTTTTTTTTCACAAAACATTTATTATTGGATTAATGGTATTTCTATCTTTCTTATGTTTACATTTTTGCTGATAATCTAATAGTTATTCTCTTGGAAATGTTTTTCCTAATATGTTTGTTTTTTCATATTTTTCTATTATGAGTAATTCTTCTCTCTATTAAAGAGATAGTCTTGTGATTATATTACAATTGATCTATCTGAATAGCATTCTTAATTTATCTGTCTAGATCATAGACAATCTAACTTATTCGATATTCATTAAAAGTTAAAACGTTTCAAATGACATTGATTATTTGACTACTCAAAAAAAAAAAAAAAAATTAAATAATCGACTTATTCGTTTAATTAAACAATCCGAGTCTAATTTTAGGTTCAAATAAAGTTTTCCTATAGATCTTATTATTATAAAATTATTTATTTTAAATGATAGCAGATACTTCAGTTGAATGTAATATAATGTGTCAAAGAAACTTGATCTATAGATACACTCTGTCGAAATTAACATTCAACATGAGCAAATATGCCTTATATATATTCTGGTGTATTATCTTGAAGGTCACCAGTATAAGCATTTAATTATAGCAACGTTCTTTTGATGTCTGAATGATCTACAAAATTATCTTGTATTAGTATAGATAGTTTGACTGAATCGTATTTATGATTGTCTGTACTATAAATTCTTTTAGTAAAAAGAAACCCAATATTTAGTAAAAAAACAATATGCATCAATCCTAAATAGTATTGATATTTTTATATCTTAAAAAATAGTCAATAGAAAAAGAATGAAATCTTCTAGTTTACGAAGAAAATAGCACTGTTGAATTTTTATCAAAATCGTGAATTCATGCATCATCATTATTTGAAATCAATTGATGAATTGCTCTTGAAAGTAATGTCAGATTTAGGTGGAGGACGCTTGTAACAATCTTTTTTCCTACTGAAAAGGCTTGTCATTTTTGTTTTCTAGAAAAAAATGTGTAAAATTACGTCGATGATATCTCTAATGAACTACAAAATGCCTTTTTTGATTATGATTACTTTTCCCAGTACCAAAATACTCTCTCTTATCAATGTCGTAAATCCCATACGACTCGAAAGCTAAATCAAAGTTTTCATTCTTTTATAGTACCAATGACATCATCAATAGTTAATAGATTGGAATGGTCAACTGTCATCTTAAATCGATGGGTAGCTCCTATAATATTCTTAATTGGTTTCATAGGAAATTTCTTTAATCTAATGATATTTACACGTAAAGATTTTTTTAAAAAATCAATTTCCCAATATTTTCTGGCAGTATCAATAAATAATATAACTATGTTTTTTATTGGTCTTTCAACTCGAATAATAGAGAGTGGTTTTCAAATAAGTATTTTTGGTGGTGATTCAAATGTATATTGTAAAATTCGAACTTATTTTGTTTATACTGCATTTGCAATATCAAATTGGTTTCTTGTTTTTGCATCACTTGATCGATTTTATTCAACAAATCAATCAGCAATCAAACGTCAACGTTTTTGTTCAAATCGAATGGCCTTTAAACTCATTTGTTTAATAGTAATTGGATGTATTTTAACGCATATACATATTATTATTTATTACAAATACATATACTATGAAAATCTAAACAATCAATCAATATTAATATGTACATCAAATAATGGAATGTATACCATGTTTTTTTCTTTTTTTATATTAATTTTTTATAGTTTATTACCTCCAATATTAATGTTATTAATAGGTCTTTTAACAATAAATAATGTTCGAAAATTTCGTCAACGAATAAATCCAAGTCGAATTCAAACATTATTAACACGAGATGCACATCAATTAATTAAAACTCTTTCCGTACAAATAACTCTTCTTATCATATTGACAACTCCACATTCATGTTATTGGCTTTATATGGGATTTACATCAGAACAAAATTCAATTAAAACAACTCTTATATTAGAATATGAAAAATTTATTTTAAATATTGTTCGATTGATACTTTATATGAATTATGGAAGTGGATTTTATATACAAATTAGTATTTCGAAAAAATTTAGATGTGAATTTATTCAAATAATTAAAAACATGAAAAGATATTTTAGAAATTTTTATTAACAATTTAATTAACAAAAAAAAAAAATTCTCCCTCGCTTTTCTTTCTCTCAGTATTATTTTTGTTTAATATTTATCATCTTATTTAATGGAATATATCGGTGTGTTATCAATAAATATATTTTTTTTTTGTATATGAACATATGTCAATATTTATTTTTACAGAGATATTTTCTCAACAAATTGATTGTGGTGAAAAATTGACTGTAATAATATCCATTATTCTTCCTTTTTTTGTTGTCTTTTCTTTATTTATTTGTTGGATAATGAGACCTTATCCACAACAAGCATCAAATGTAATTGAATTTCAAATTCGACAACAAATAGATTTTTCAAAATTTCAACGATAAATAAAGTAAAATGAACTAATTTTCTAGTCGAATGATTATAAATAAATAATTCTCTAGATATTGATTAATAATCATTGAGAAAGAGTTTGTCTTTAATATATTTATCTTGATATAATCGATCAAGGAATGACAATGATCTTATTAATCTTCGTCGTTTTTTAATATATTCTATTTGGAGTATTTTTTTTGTTCGCTATGCAAACTTTTACAAGATAAGCTTTTGTATGCTGTAGATTAAGAGAAGAAAAATTGATTATTCTTAATCAGTTAAAAAAAAGAAAGAAAAAAGACTTCAATGATTTAATTATTTTTAATAATACCAATGAGTAAAATTTTCCTATTTACTCATAAATAATGTTGATTAACGTTAAATAAATATGTTTTAATAGATACACTAGAGAATAAGAATTAAAGTTGAGCATTAACAATTCACAAAAGAAATAAGTCATCATCATACAATGGAGATAAAAATAAACATGTAGACAATGATCTAAGTTCATCAAATAAACGTTGACATATTTAGCAGAAGACTTATTTTAATATTGAATGAAGCATCCTGCTATACTTTTGTTACAATAACGTTTTCGCCTGACGTAGTTTGAGTAGCTTCATCTGTTCTTTAGCAAAACACTGAAAAGAGAGAAAAAAAAAAAAAAGAAAAAGAAAAAGGAAGAAATATTTTCTCATTTCATTTTTGCAAATACTGAAAAACAACTATTTTTCTTTTGCTGTTCTTTTATTATTTATTTTTATTCCGTTTAATCGTTGGACTTATTTTTTTCGAACAATTAAATTAAAAGTGAATCCTTCTAATGTAAGTTTTTACTTTTTTTTTTTTTTTTTTAAATAGTAATAAAAGAAAAAAAAACTATAGTAATCAAATAACACATCAATCACAAGATCTTTATGTTGTTTTTTTCTTGATTTGTTTAGATATTTGATTGATGACAGCTGTTTGATAGAGATCATACATGCAAACTTTAGATTTATTTTTGTGTTTAGAGAAATTAGATCTTTTCGAACAAAAATTTATATCTATTTAAAATAATATTCTTTTTTTTATGAAAGAAAGGCAAAAAAAAACCGTTTTGTAAAAGAACCTTCTATGTAAATTGTAAGTTTTAACACAACAAAGAAAAAGAAACTTGTCTTCTCGTTCTTCTCATTTTTCTTGCGTACTTCTGTCTGCTAATCATTCTTTTTTTCATCATTGCCAACACCAACAGGAACAACATCATAGAACGCTAAACATTCTGTGGTTTGACAGAATAAGAGAGAAAAGAGAGAAATGATATAGAAATAAGAGAAAGAAATAAGAGAGAAAAACCACATAGTTGCGGCGCTCTGCGTTCTTTTTACTTCTGTGTCTTGTTCGACTCTTTAGTGATGATTACGTGTGTGTGCATGTGTGAATGAATTTATTCAGGCGACGACTAACCCGTAGAAGAAACTATTTAACAATTTGAAATCTTGAACACGCCTTATATTGTATATTAAATAAAAAAAAAGTTAGAATATCAATCACATTGAATAACAGTCGTCCGGTTGTCTCAAATAGTCCCAGGTAAGCATATTCATCATAGAGCATCTGTTGACATTTGACTTTGTCTTTAGTCAACAGATCAATAATGTAATTGTAGAATATAGTATCATTCGATTCGATATATTTATAAAATAACCTTTTGTCAATTATCGATATATACAGCTAGTAGCTATATAATGTTAATTATACATTAGTTATTTTTCTAGGGTGAAATCTGTGAATCATCATCTAAAAAAAAAAAAACTAATCAAAAAATTTTTTAAATATTAATCACGAAAATCTCATGAAAAAAAATAATAATACAACGCCTGAATACAAATTAAGGTCAAGAGCATATATGTAGGTAGACATCATAGTATAATAGTAGATCAATTTATATAGCTATATTAATCATTATGAAAACAGTGAGCATAGACGTTATTCTAGGAGATTATGCAAATATTGTCTGGAAGCGTAAGACTCACTATCATAAATATATTGAAACAATATGTATTTTTATATGAAATAGAAAAAGAAAATGCATTAATATGCTTCAATGCATCAATAGAGCAACAGATATAATTTAATTCTAAAATATTGCTTCTTCTTCTGTTAACATTCAAAAACTATATACATATATATATATATAGAAAAAAATTGTTTCGTCGTTTTTTTTTTAATAGAATATTGATATATTCAACCTTTATTTTTACATAGTGACCTTTTAGTTGTCGCATAAAATTGCTTATATATTTCGTCTTTCTCTTCAATGAAAAGGTAAATGTAACAATTGTTTTACAATAGAGATCATTGTTATTCATGTACAGTTACAAGAAAAAAAGAAGGTCAATATAGAAATTACTAAAATATTAATCATATTATGAATAGTTAGATTTATTTTAAAATAATCATTATTTCATCGAAAGAGTATTAAATAAAAAAATTATTAAACTAAGAGTTTTTTTTGTATGATTTGCATAAGAAGTACTTATTCTAATAAGTAAAATGTTCATTTCATTAAATTTAATGTCGGAATTTATTATATCGACGTAGTCGATGTCGGCATAAAAAAAAACAATAAAGTCCAATTAGATCAAAGACTAAAACATACTCTTGTTTGTATGTCAGCTATAATAAGAAAAATCAATTACTTTTGTTTTTTTGATTGATCGGCAAACAATAAAAAAAAGATGAAAGAGTTTCAAAAACTCAATATAAAGAAAACCACGCCCAATGTTCTATATTCTTTTTTTTTGTCCAATTTTCATAAAGAGATTGATGAGTGTGTTAGAATTCCAGTTGTCTTTTTAGTGTAAAACCAAGGAAAAAAAGATAAGACTTGTCGTCAGTATTGCATAAACAGATGAAGATAGTTATGAACTTCGCCTTTTCTTCTTGTTTGATGGGCATATAAAAGTGCACATAACCAGAAGAGAATCGTTCGAATGTCCTTGAATGGTGATCGGCTTGCAACCTCGACTCGTTTTTTTTTCTTTTCTCTCTCTCTCTCTCTCTCATCTCATCAAATTAACAGTTCGAAGGAAAAAAAGCGAGAAAAAGGCGGCCTTATATTAGTGTGATTATACTGACTTTTTGTATTCTATTTGCAAGCTAGTATTGCAAACCATTTATTATAAGAGATGGGATGCTCAGTGTTGTGCGTGTGTTCATCATAGAACGAGAGACGCGCATGCTGTGTGTGTGTGTGTGCGTCTTTTCTCTGTTTATCTCGACGGATTCACTTGCCTATTAGTCATAGAACAGAGGAAAAAGCAAAAAGAAAAAAAAACGAAAATATTTCTATGAGACGTGACTTGCTGAAAAAATTGTGATACACTATACAACACAAATGTATTCATTCCCAGAGAAATAAAGAGCTATTAAGAGAGAAAGTACCATTTATATCATTTCGGTCTTTATAGATACTTCATATATATATATATCTATATATATATTGTCAGGTAAGAGTATTTCATAATATAAATTTATTTGAGATTGATATTAGTTTTTTTTCTTTTATTGTTAAAGAACAAAAGATTTTTTTTTTTTATATTAATTTAAACATCATATTTCATGAATGAATGTTGTATTTAAAAACACCTACATTATGTTAATACTTACTTTGAAAAATTTTTTATCCTGCAGATGACAATAAGTTATTACTAAACATTTTCTTTCTATTTATAGTATGAATGAGAATGAATATTTGTCCTTGATGTTTGACAAGTTTTTTTTTTTTTGGTTTCTTCATTGATTTGTTTCGACAAGTGTTCTATAGAACAATCTCTTATAAAGAGTTTTTCTTTTTTTCTATATCGAATGTCATTAATTTTTTTTTTCATTCATTATTTAATAGTTGTTAATAAAATGGATTAGGTAGGTTTTCTTCTTTTTTTTATCGTATGTCTGGTTAAAAAGATAAGAATGTTAATTTTAATAATTTTCATTACAGAAGAATGAACAAGATTTGATTGTCGAGAAGAAAAAGAAACAACTAAACGATGAAGTTATTTCCCAAATGAATAAATCTGTGTTTTGTGTATGTCAAGGTTAATTAAAGGAAAAGTTAAGGCAGATTGCGATGGGAAACAAAACGCAGAAAGAATCTAAGATTAGGGTCAAATAAAAAATGAATATACATTGATGGATTCTATCTGATTGACATTTTTTTTTCTTCTGTTGATCTAATTGTAAGATAGAAATATATGAATAATCTATTATAGAAAGAGACAAGTGGACATGCTTGTACAACAGTGGTGATGTACTACTTAGACTTTTGTGGTGACTATGCCCTGTGGCTTGATCGTCCTCGATTGTCATCTACTTTTCGTCGTTGTTATTCTCATCGAATTAGTCGCATCAAGATCTATTTTAATCGATAGAGATCAACGAGAATTAACAACGTCAACAAATAGAACAATGCACAAAGATCGAAGACATTCGATATTTGACGACAAGAACAGAGCTGTTTTAGGTGAACTTGTAAGTTTTTATTTAAAATAAAACATACAATAACAAATCAAAAAAAAATGCCGAAAAGACAAATAATATTTTGCATATTTTGTTTTCTTTTATTTCTGTCAGCATACATATTTAAGTAATTATGGTTATTTACCTCGTTCTGATTTGGAGACTCGAGCAATGAGAACAGATGAAGAATTTCGTTCTGCTATTCGACGTTTACAAACATTTGCTTCTATCCCTGTAACTGTACGTATGATTATCTTTTTTTTATATTTCAAATCTTATTTCAAGTTTTTTTTTTTGTCTAGGGTGAACTTGATCAAGCAACACTTGATTTAATTCGACGTCCTCGTTGTGGTTTAGCTGATTATGAACCAAATCGTGTACCACGTCCTCATACATATGGAAATCGTCGTCGACGACGTTATGTTTTACAAGGACAAAAATGGGCTAAAACATATTTAACATATAAGTGAGTAAAAACAAAAAAATTATTTATTTCTTAAATAAATAAATGTAGTTAGAAGAGTTATTGTTGCAAATGTAAATAATATTGGTTTTAATAATAATGATTTTTTTTCATAAATTTGTTTATTATTTTCAAAAATACATTGAAATTTTTTTATATGAATTTTTTCGGATTTTAAATTTTTCCATTGTGTTATATAATCATCATATTGATTTAATATTTGTGCATATTGTATAACAAGTAATATTCGATAATTAATTTCAATAGATGTTAAATGACATTCAATATATGAATTAGCTTGAATAAAACCACGTGCAGGTTGTGACGCTATTATATCAGGTTGAGTTGTTTTTAATTTAAATATAATTGGAAAAGAATTATCATTATATAATTTTAAATTAATTAAATTAGATGTTTGAGAAAAATTTAGAAATTTTGAAGGTTTTGTACGTAATTCAATTAATTTTTCTTGTTGAGAGAAAAAAGTTAAATTATTAAATGGTTTTTGATGATAAATATTTAATGTTTTATGTGTAATTGAATCTTGTTGTGTTTCTATAAAAATATTTTTATTTACAATGTCACCTGAATTTTTATTCTCTTGATTAAATAGATCATAAACACTAATTGTTTTTTCGTCTTTCCAATTCATTGAGAAAATGAGGAAAAAAAAAAGATATTACTAATAGAAAAATGAATAAGAATTTAACCGCTCTTTTTTTCTTTTTGTTTCTATTTTTAATTTTTCTTTTTTTTTGATAGAGTTATGAATTATACACCAGATATGCCCCACGACTCAGTTGATCGAGCTATTTATCATGCTTTATTAATTTGGTCGTATCCAAGTCAATTAAGATTTCGTCAAGCAAACGAAATGGAACATCCTGATATTGAATTTTTATTTGCTCAAGGTTATCATGAAGATGGATATCAATTTGATGGAAAAGGTTGAAATATTATCTAGATGAGAAATTTATAAAATTGGTTTTTTATTTTAGGCTCTGTTCTAGCTCATGCTTTTTATCCTGAAGAACATCTTGGTGGAGATGTTCATTATGATGAAGATGAAGATTGGACAGCATATCGAGAAAATGAATATGGTTTAAGTTAGTATTATGTTTTGATTAGAAACTCAATCCAATGAATTATTTTTACTAGAGATGTAAGCCAATGTGTAGTTCTAGAATGAGAATTTAAAGTGTTTCAAGAAATACTTTATCAAGCTATTTTTTTGTAGTTTCGAAAAAAAAAATTTTGATATAGAATTAAGAAGAAAATATGATACATTAAACTACATATTGATAAGAAATTAAACAAGAACATCTGTACAAAGGCAGGATATAGATCAACATTTTTTTTAATTCTTTTATCTGCTTTTATATCTCGATGATGATAGATAAAATATTTAACAAGTATGTTCGATAATAACAATAGCGTCGATGATTCAGTGGGTCGACTTACATCTCTAATTTTTCAATCTGAAGCAAAAAAAATTCGATCTCCTCCTTTTTAGACTTTCCTATCAACCATTTACAGTGTAGACTATAAATAATTAGACGATAATAAAAAATTCTGCATCTTCGATCAACTTTAATCAATCAGAGTAGTTTTTTTTTCTCGATGATAGACAACTTGTCAAAGATTTTATTCATAACATAACTGTCAATTACAGACTATGTAAAACTAATAATATGAACCAAAAGTATCTCAACTATTCTTATGATTTAGAGTGGCCTCATTTGTTTGAGTTAAAGAGAAGTTATGCTTTATGACAACTCTTCTTATATTGAGTTCTATAACTCAAGAATGAAAAAAAAAAGCGTATGACTCAGCGAACCTTTATTCTAGCTATTTTTAGACTATAAGTTTGATAGATTAAATTATAAAACTCAAAATGAGCAGAACTAGTTGTACAACATAATTCTTCTTTAATTTCAGTGATCGACTTCAAACAGGTTGCTTTAGTCTACATTACTTAGGTAGTACATGTACTAAAAATTTCCAATAAGTACTCTTAAGATGCATTACTTTCGACCAATTGAGTATTTTATTTTATGAAGATCAATAGTTCAAAACAAAAATCAGTCCGCTTGATTAAAACAGCCTAAAGGTATTTTTCCATCTTTTAGCTATTTATAAGCTATTGTGTTTATCACAGACAGATATCTTACTCACTGACTTAATTAAAGAGGAACAAATAGATAGACAGTGACGTATTCTGTAAATTCTAAGTAAAGAAATCTAACATCATTGCAAATTTGTTTTGTATGTTGCCCTAAAAATTTATTAAAGTAACGTTTTTTTTATTTTTTTTTAGTGGATTTATTTTCAGTAACTGTTCATGAATTAGGACATTCATTAGGTTTAATGCATTCGAATATACCTGATGCAATTATGTTTCCCTATTATCGTGGTTACTCAAAAAGTATTAAATTACATAGTGATGATATAGCAGCTATTCGAAAACTTTATGGAGGTAAACAAATATAAATTAATAGAAAAAAAAAACACAAAGTTATTTATTGTCTAGATCCACCAACAGAAGTTTTAATTTCACCAGCAATAAATTCTGATGAAATAACACAAACAACTCATGATTACACAACATCACAACCAACAACAACTACAACAACAAATATAGTTGAAACAACAACAACAACAACAACAACGACAGTAACAACAACTTTATTGCCAATATTAACAACAATTGAAACAACAACTTCTACTTATCCAATAACAACTTTAGCTGTAACTAATCAAGAAAAAATTCATTATGAAACAATAACAACAACAACAACAACAATAGTAACAGTAAATAATTCCTATGAAACTAAACATCGTCATATAACAAAATCGCCCATAGCCAAATCAACAAATCATCGATTACAATCACATCTAGAAAGACATACATCAACAGAACAAATTAAAATAAATTATACAGATCGATCAAAATTAGATTTATGTGATGGATTTTATGATGCTATTACAATGTATAAAGGAATTTTATTTATATTTAAAGGACAAGTTTGTTTTTTTTGTTTTTTATTTATGTTTGATTTTTTGAAATTTTTTATAATTTAGTATTTTTGGCAATATGATCGACGTGGTTTAGATCCTTCATCACCAATGATTAATAATGCTTTTTGGTTAGGATTACCAGAAACTTTAACAAAGATTGATGCAGCATATGAACGATCTGATGGTCGTTTAATGCTTTTTTCAGGCATAATACTTTGATTTCTATGTTTAATTTAAAAATAATTCGACTTTATTTTAGGTCGTCAATATTGGATATTTGACGATAATAAAATATCAATTGAAGACGATGGTTCTAGTTATCCTCGTAATATAAGTTCACTTGGTCTTCCAACACATGTTAATCATATAGATGCAGCATTTCTATGGTCATATAATCGTCAAGCTTATCTTGTTTCAGCAAATCTATATTGGGCATTAGATGAACGATGGAATCGTGTTAATACATATGATTATCCAAGAGATATGATTATGTGGCAAGGCATTGATATTCCACTTGATGATGCTTTTGTAGATTTAACTGGTAAAAATTTTAAAAAAAATTCTTTATTTGTTCTGTTATGTTTTTTTTTATCAATATCAATTTTTATAGGTTCAACATATTTTTTCAAAGGTCTGGATTTTTGGCGTTTAAATAATACAAGTATGGAAGCAGCAATAGATTATCCTCGTTCAATAAATACTGATTGGCTTTTTTGTGATAAGCCTCGATCTTTATCATCAACATTATTATCATCTTTTCAATCGACTTATAATTTCGTAATTATTCTCCTTGCTATTCTTCATTGTTCTTCGCTCTAAGCATCTCATACATTCGTTTATTTGTTTGTTCGGTATTTGTTTTCTATTAATTTTTGGCTTGTGTCTGATACTCATTTGTATGTGTGTGTCACCGCCAAAACAGAAAGTATCCATTTTCTCAGGTCACATCGGTAGTTTTCATTGATGAAAACGAATAAAAATATTAGGAAAAAAACAAAAGAAAAACCCGAAACGAAAATAAATATAATATCGTGATCTTGAAAAATGAACACTTCGTAGACCTGCATTGTTCTTTGTATTCTTTTTTTTGCCTTGTTTGTTTGTTTGTTTTTTTTTATTCGTATTTCTTATTCTTCTTCACAGTACTCTAGTCGATTATTGAGAAATAAAGAAATTCTTTTATTATTTAATTATTTCTTTTTTTTTTTTTACACAAGAATAAAATATAGATAAGATATATATAACATGATTAATTTGTCATTCTATCTAGACTTTAGATCAAACTCTAATTAATGGAAATATATATATGTCAGCATCCAAACTGAGATTACGTCCAATCCCAGATTGGTCTAGGTGAATCTCGGATTGATGCAATTCTGTTCACTAAAATATCAATTACTCTCTAGATAGACGTTGGATTCAAACTATTTTTTTGAAATTGTGTTCGCACAATGCCGTTTTAAGTATTACAAGCATTTTAGAAGAAGTTAAATTTAGACTCAAAAATTTAACAAAAGTTTTTTGACAGAAGCTGTTGTTCTCTAGAAATTTATTCATAACTCCTAAAATTTTACTCAAATAACAATTGTGCCAAATAAACTGGCATTGTGTAAACATAACTTAAACAAAAACAATTCAAATCTAACGTCTATGCTAGAGAGTAACTGATACTTTAGTGAACAGAATTGTGTCAATCCGAGATTGAACGCGTTCAATCTTGAATCCGACATTCGCCTAGGCCAATCTGAGATTAGACGTAATCTCAGTTTGGACGTTGACATATACATTTATCTATGAATGCCACAATAAATATTTCAAAGGTTAATTGATTTAGTTATACGAATTTCTTTTTTTTTTGCTTAAATTATATTGCAAATTATGAAAATAAATGAATGCTGAAACAATGAGTCAATATTTATCAGTAAAAAAACAACAAAAGATGAATTTTATATGCCATAGTTTTGAAATTTTTATATATTCTATTATAAAAATCTGATATCGTAAGATCATTTTGTTATCATTTTTATGTAGGATTGAATGTAAGACTCCCACAAGAACAAACAATGTTGAAGTTTTTGAAAAATAAAAACTGAAGAGTATAGTACTTAGACTTGTTATTTTTTTTTTCATTTCATTTAGTGACTTGAAATAATAACAAATACTTTGCTTTTCATAAGCAACCTTGTAAGACATATTTTTCATTTAGAAATATATTATTATTCATGAATGCATATTGTAAGCTGTCTATTCATATTTGAATAATACACTTTTATTCTTCTCAATCTATAATTTTAAAAAGATTCAATGGTTTTTATTTTCTTCATAAACATTCAGTTGCTTTATACTATGTTTTTTTTTGCATGATAAATATCGAACATGAGTACATATAATTTTATGTATTGATATTTAAATTTGTTGTTTTTTCTTCGATAAATATAATAAATTATCATATTAAGAGAAACTATGCAAAATTTGATGAACATGTAACAATTATTACGACGTAATCTAGTTGGTTTATTTTTGAGCAACAAAACGGAAGACATCTTTTTTTGTGCAGTATTTCCATTGGTTTATACGTGAGTCTTTCTCGTTTCTTTTTTCTCTTCCTGCGTCGTATAATCTTGTTTTTCTTTTTGCGTATATGAAAAAGACGTTATTCATTGCAAAAGTTCCATTCAACTAACAAAAAAACCAGTAACATGTCGTCTTCATCGAATACAAATGTAGACGTTTCTAATTCAAAAATAGCAACAGAAGCAGCACCACCTGGTATGAATTCATTTACAAATACAGTTGGTATGCAGCCGAATACAAATGAAACATCATCACAACAATGTCCATCAAATATACGACGAGGAAGTTGTGATAGACCGGGATGTACAGATGAACATAGTGGAAAACCACATGAATAAAATCAAAATTCTTCTTTTTGTTTTTTTAATATTTATTCATGTAAAACCTTAAATTCAGCAGTTTATTTTTAGTTAATAAGCATATTAAATAATCAAATTTGTAAATATAAATTTTTATTAATAAAAAATATTTACGTTTACCTAGACCAAAAAAAACAGAAAAAGAAAAAACATAATACGCAAAATAATTCCATTAGATTTTATGCTATTTTTAGATTATTATTAGTTTCAAACAAAAAAATTACCAATCAATTAAATTCGAAAAACAAAAAAGAATGAAATCTATACTAAGCAGTTGTTGTTTATCAAAAAAATGTCTATGTGTTACCCTGCATGTTTCGAACATTCAAGGAAAAAAAAAAACAGAACTTTTATTTGTCGGTAATTTTCTATGATTATTTTGATTGCAATCAGTTTTTTCTCTAATCTAAACATCGAATTTTGAATTGCATTAAATTTCTCAAAAATAAAAAGACCTTGAACACATTTTCATTGAATTCTTTATAGTATAATTCATTTGAAGACTCTACATGAAAATAACTTTACACTACCTAGAATGAATATGGACTCTAAAGAATACTAAGAACGATCTTTTTTAGTTTAGTTCTATTATTTTGCTTTACGTGATAGATTTTTATTGATATAGGATATGAAAAGAAAAAAAGAAACAGTTGTTTCTACTTTTATTTCATCTTATTGATGCATTTTCTAAATCAAGATTTTACAAATCATAAATATATTAATATTCAAGTTTATACTATAACTAAAAATTTAAAACTAAATGAAAACATAAAATATTGCGACATTGATGGATTTCTAATGACAACGTGTATTCGTTTTTTTCCTAACCAAATACAAATCAACAATGTTTTCATTCGATTTTGTATGTCTTCTACAAAAAGTCTATTTAATCAAGTATATATCGATCAAAACATCATAAATAATAGATGTATGAATGGAAGAAGTGTAGCTATAATAAAATAATTATGATTTTATCTTTACAGAAATTATCAGAACAGAATATGATAAATAAATGGTTTTTAATTAAACTAAATGCTTTTGTGTATCGATCTAATAATTTATCTATTAAGAAATGATTTCATTAAAATTTTCGAAAATGAAATTCAAAAATAACAGTTTAGTATTCAACAAAAATATCTTGTATGTCCATCAAAATATTTCATAATAAGATTGTTTGGAATTCAATGTGACTATAATCTCATAAATTAATGAAGGACGATAATGACATAAATAAAGTGTAAAGAAGGTAAGTATTACGATAAATGTATTGTTTCATCATAATTTTAATAATAATTTGCTTTGTCAAATCATTTAACAAAAAGATGACAAAATTCAACAAATATGATTACAGTATTTTATTTTCAAAATATTCACCAATACCCTTGAATAGTAGATAGATTATTAAATTTCATGTTGAATATATTAAATGATTTGTCGTTATAACCGATAGAAAAAGAAAACAGTCAACATAACTGTTAACAATTGATGCATTGGGTCAATATTGGCTAACTCTATGTTTTGGTGATATCATTATAAATATGACATAAGCAAAATAATATCAAAAGAAATTTGATCAGGATTATTCATTAAAAATTTTCTTCTCATACATAATCGATATTTCTAAAATAACTTGAATCATATAGATAGAAGTTATATACACCCAGACATTTATTTATTGTTGTCAAAGAAAGAAAAATATGAATAAAGGCGAAAAGAAAAAGCATTCATGTCTTGAATGGACTCAATTATTTATCTCATTTATGATACCTGCAGCTATTGCTATTTATACAGTATTGGAAAATAATCGAGAATTAGCTATTGCTTCTCAGCATCGTGTTCAAGATCTTGATATAGCTGATGATCAACGAAAAGAAACTGTTCTTCGTCAATATCAAAAAACCTTATGTCAATTAATTGAAAAATATGGTTCGCAATTCAATCAATCATCCGAAATTTCTTTAGTTGCCCGTTTTGCAACGCTTTCAGCATCGCGTCAACTTGATTCTCATCGTCGTAATTTTCTTATTCGTTTATTGTATAATGCAAAATTAATTACATATGATTCAATAAATGATCAACCGAAAATTTCACTTGAATCAGCTAATTTAACTGAGTTATCTCTGATTGATGGAACTGTTGGACAAACATTAGTTCATATTTATATGGCAGGTGCTATTATGACTAAAGCTAATTTTCATGGTATTAATATTCATGGTGCTATATTCAATGGAGCCAAACTTAAGAATGCTGATTTTTCTTCTACTACAAATAGTTTATACTGTAGCGACATGCCATGTGTTGGACCGAACAGTGCATCATTATATTTTGAAGAAAGTGATCTAACATCTGCTTTGTTTTCAAATGCTATTTATGATAATGCTTCATTTCATATGGCTAAAATGTCAAACACAAATTTACATCGTTTTCGATGTGATTTGTGTTTTTTCGGTGTTGCTAATATGACTCAAACAAATTTACAATATGTAGAAATCTCCAGATCGTCATTTACAATCTCTATGTTTATACAAGCTGTAATTCATCAATCAAATTTTTATGAAAATGTTGATTTTTCTGTTGCAGATATGAGTTATACTCATGTTAGTCACAGTAAATTTACAGAGTGCCTATTTGATTCTACTAATTTGAAAAGTGTTACATTGCATTATAATACGTTTACGAAAAGTACATTTAAAAGTGCCAAAATGTTTGAAATATCAATTCTACATAGTATTTTTATTGATGTAAATTTTACTAGTGCTGATTTAAGTAAAAGTAATTGGCAATATGTTCGCTGTGAAAGATGTATATTTAATTTAGTCAACTTCAACCGTACTGAATTATCTAATTCAATATTCATCGAAAGTGATTTTGGAAATGCTACGATTACTGAAGATCAATTGAACCAAGTTTCGTCTTTGAAAGGTTCAATATTACCTAACGGAACTGTTGTTGGTTAGAAGTAGAATTGTTTTTTTTTCTGTCACAATACAGATATATGTTCATAGAACTTATTTGAGTTTGAGCACTATGGCACAGAAAAATATTAGAACAGCAATTTTCTATATTTCGATTGTTCAGTTAAATATTAGTAATAAAGAAAGATTGTATATTGAATAAGAGATAAGTGGTTCTGTACTCTTTCAGAATAAAGAGATAAATCTTCTGTATGTGGTATACAATAGACAATAGACCGATAATCTAATTAATAAAAAATGCAGTCAAATCTTATATAATTTGTTTCTAACGATATTATTTTGATTCTTGTTGTTGCATTGTAGGTAGTTATAAAGACATAAGAAAACTATTTTCATTATTCATATAATCTGTTCAATCATCAAACAAAAAATTAAGATAGTAATGAGAAGATGTCTTTGGCATTTAGAAATAATTTGATTTCGTTTCGGTTATTCATGTGCTTGTCTCTGAAATTTTATCACTTTTCAATGTATACCTCTGAAGTATTCTGTTTGCATGACACCATAGTTATGAACAAAAATTTATTAGTAGTTTAAAGTTTGTGTCAATGGTCGAATATCATCATAGAAAAGTTAGACAATGCCATTAAAGTTTTTTCACGCTGATGTTCAGTATCCTTTGTATGACAACTTTTTTTTTAACTTGTCCTAATATATGTGAAGAAAGTTTTTTCTGAATGTCTCGAACTTCTTTTTATTTATGAACAATTTTTTGTAATAAAGATTGAAAAAAACGAGGAATTTATTGTGGTTGAGTTTACATTACTTCTCTGCAAAGTTTCTAATCCACAGATTAACAATTGGAATAATCATCGCTTGAATAACAACAACATATGGCAAAATAATGCTTCCACATCAACTTGATAATTCCTTCGTTAGGCAATCATTCATCACAAATTGATCATTAGAAACTGTTCATCAAGGATCAATGAACTTATCAATTGTGAACTAACATATTCTTTGATTTGTACAGAATATTTCATTTCTTTTTTTTTTCTATTAAAAACACGCAGGCACATCATTGAGACGAGAATGATCTAGAAATGATTACCGTATTACTGGACAACTATATGCCAATTTATTTCTTTTCTTAGTAGACAAGTAAAAAGAAAATATCTTGTTAATAATCCATTCTATATGTATTTCCTTGTCTATCAATTGTTTATTTTCTTTCGTCATTATCACTATGATTGTTACTGATGTCTATACTTTAAATAAAGGATCCATAAATGAGCTTCATTTTCGGTATTCCTTTCATTTTTTTAATATACCAATTAATATTTAGATTTCAGCAATTAATTCAATAACATTAGCCAGTAGGTAAAATATTCTGATTGGGTTTCATACAAAAATTATTTGTTCATGATATTTTTCAGCCAAAAAAAGATGTTCTTCCATGTGTTATCACGACTGTCATTCCAATAATATATAGTTGCTTGTGTGCTAATAAAATATGGATATATTCATTGAATATTTTACTCAGCTAATCATTCTATAACAATTCTAATGATATCATTAAGATCTATAATTCAATAACAATTCAAATTCTGACATCCGTCTTCGATGGTTATGTCAATCAAGCTCTATTATGCAATGCAACTGCTATTCTAATCACTTTTTACTCTCTTCATTCCTTTGACATCCATCATTTTCATTGTTGAAACTTGACACAAACCAATTGGTTTTCTGAATACACTCGATCATAGTATTCTAAGTATTTGTCCTTTGTCTTCACTTGGTCATTTGAACAATAGTCGATATTAATACTTATACTTTGCATTTTTCGGCGATGAATACTGAAATAATACTTGTCACGTTTCGTACGAATGAATAGCTACATTTTCTTTTTTTTTTCTAATGACATGAGACATGGAAAGAACGATTAGAAGTGCTACTTTACCTTTCATATTATCTTTTGACCTTCATAAGACATTTGTAAAGCTAATAATAAATCTCAATCGATCAGAATTCATTTAGCTTTCGTGTTGACATCATGATAATTTTAGTAGAATTGTATTAGGCTAATAGATTTAGCAATAGTTCAAGAAATATTGGAAAATAGTCTAAAATTCATACAAACGACGATCTGTGCAAATAACAATTCGATCTTTCACACAGGGAAAAATTGTTCGATTTGAATGGACGAAATATGGACTGGAGCTTCTTTCGTAAATCTTTTGTGTCATTTCCCATAACCAGTTATCCTGATAAGAATATATAGCAATATTCGGTTGAACAAGTAAAGCGAATATTTCTGCATTGGCTCTTATATATCTAAATAAATAATGACACGCGAGTTATTTTGAATTATTCGTTAATGGGCGTCAAAATCGTAGGAATTAAGAGTTATTACACATGATGTAGGAAAATTTTACAAATATTTATAATAATAAAAAGGCAACATATTGGCACAAGTCAATGAGTATTTCTTTCGATAATAAACCAGAGTTTACATCAATTTTATCGAAATGGAATGAAACTTTCAAAGCTTATAGTATTTGATATCAAAGTTTGTGAAAATAAATAATGCACTAGAATTGTTTCAATGATAATTATTTTGAAGAAGAGAATATAAATGTTTTCTTAATTATTCAATACAGAAGTAGAGCCAACTAGAGGTGATGCCGTCATTTATTTTTTGGAAAAACTTGCAACCATCTATGACCGAAAAGTTTTAAAGATATCTCGGCTGTCGTCGTCGCGCCATAGAAATAGATATTAAATTTTGAAAAATTTTGGACATTCATCATCAGTTTTCTAGGGATGTTTTTGTTTTGTTTCCTATTATTACGTTCTCTATTAGCACTTTCTCGCTTCTTCATTTCAAGCTTCCACAGAACCAAGATAATTGTTAAAAAATGCATCGAAAAGTTTTAACCATCGCCGCCAATCAATGCGTCGACTTACAATGTTAAAGACTATTTACATTGAATAACTCATATTTCGTCGCAGGCTTAGCGTTAATTTAGAAGGTGTCTCATTTCACTTTTTTAATGTTTGAAATTCTACCTGAATAAACAAAAGTTAATTTTATGGTGTTACACTACTGCAAAGATTTGACTATATGAATCTATTTCTTATAGGCAAATCAACTGATTATTCTTAAGTATATAGATGTAATCAGTAATGCTTTTGTTATAAGCAAAATAAATTAAAATCAAGTCAGCCAAATTCTAATATATTTATCTTTGTTATAATTAACTCAGTTTGGATCTGTTAAAATCATGAAATATTGATGAACTGTCTGTTTCACTCAATATGTCATCTTTTCACTTTCGCATAATTTCGATTATTTTGCAATTTACATTTTTTTAAAAAATTAACTGAACTGTAAAGTTAACTCAGAGTCAGCATTGAAATAATTGTTAATAGTGTGTTGTAAACTTCATAAAAATACAACTAGTTGCGTCTAATGTGGGCTTGGTTTTTTATTATGTTCATAATTTGATCATTTTTTAGTTGATTATTAGATATATATGCTGATCGAGTAAAAATGCCAAAATCGTGCAATGTAAGAATGAGAAAACTGTAAATGATATGGATGCTTTTCTTTTTTTCCTATCATATGTCTTTTGTTAATAGGCACAAGCGAATAAGAAAAGTATTGAAAAATGAACCTGCACCAAAATAATTCGATACGCAACATAGCATCACGATAGAGTTTATCGGAAATTTTGTTTCTGTTTTTGATTCAAACAACACAAGATAGATTTGGGTGACGAGTTAGCTTGTGCATAAAAATGTTATTCAGTTTATTAACTAAAAATCGATATAATAAATGTTTATTGAATGTCCTCTGGTTAAAAAAATCATTGTTATTTCTTATTTGACCGAAATTGTACAGAATACAGCAATAAATAATATTAGAAATGGTGAGATGTATTTTAAAGAAGTAGCTCCGCAAGTACTCCTTGCATCGCCAATATTGCAAATGGGAAAACTACTTGTACACGCATTTGTGCATGTTCGAACACCCTCACATGACGCAAGATCAACAGAGCCAACATACGATAGTGTACAGGAGCCAGCAGGTGTGCAGCAGGAGCATGAACAGTTTACTGCGTAAGAAGTTTTTACCATTGCCATTAAAAGCAAGAGAAACAGCATCATCGCTCTTTGGTTTGTAGTCAACATACTGATTATGATTTATCCCTTTTCTGGTCGTGATTCTTTAGCAATTTTCTGTCAGAATACCATGTCAACGAAATAAACATCGACAGAGAATTTAGAGGATGAAAAAAAATAAGCAAATAAAGCAGAATCAATAAAACGGTCAGCTTTAGTCATTGATACACATTCTCAAATTATTTAACATCAAATTCAAATTTTTTTTTTTTCATATTTGCAAAAACATTTATTGTTGATCATACAGAAGAAACCTCATAATTCTTCACATATTTTCTTTCATATTGATATTTACGATACGTGATAATTCTTTGTTCATGATAAATTCAATATCTACTGAGTTATATTTCTTGTAATCCAATGATGACGAATTTCCATTTAGTTTCATGTACCTTCTTACATGTGCAAATGCATATCAATGGATGCGTCGAAAGAATACTTCACTGAGTCAAACAAAGACTCGACAGTAAATACAAATGAAAGAAGCCAATAATTATTCAAATTGATTTCATATTAGTCAGAATAGAAAAATAGAAGAAACATAATTGTAACCATTACAAACGAGATTAGTTCGAATTTTTTAATCAAATGAACGATTCAAAATTGTTTTTATTCAAAGTAACGGTATAATGGACTAGTTTCCTTACATGATTAACAACGAAGTGATTGAAAGTATCAAACAATGTTCACATTATTATTTTCATTTCAAAGTTTTTAAACTAACGATAGAGATCCCAAGCCAAATCTCCGTATTAAAAAACACATACGATTCATCTTCTAAGAATCATCATCAATAATTAAAAACTGTAACAAAACTAACGATACACATGATTGAATAAGAGAAGAGAAGATATTCGCTCATATGTATGCGTCGACATACTCATTATCTGTTATCGACCGTTCAAAAAACTAAATCATACAAAATAAATGATTATCACACTAGTGTTGAAAGACTTTAGTCATTCAGCTGCCTGTGAAACAATGAATTGAAATGGGTGCGACATGTTACTTCTTATATTCAAGGTCGAAAAAATGAATCTTCAAAGTATCATTTCTGTGTCTATTTGTTTGCACTCGATTTCAAAAAGGCTTCTACTTTTATATTTCCAGTCAAATATGAATAAAATATTTGACTCGAATATGAGCATTTTTGTGCAATGAAATTTGAACAATTTCAAAAATAGCTCAGCGCTATTCTCAATTGATTCTGAAGTAGTCCAATGAAAAGAAGATTGTTCCTTTTCATTTAGTGGTTTTTCGTAGTAAGTATCATCAAGAATAAAGTTCTTGAGAGGGTTCGTTTCTCAACAGTAAAACCAATTTTGCAGATATTTTTTCGAAAACTTGTTCAAATCGTTAAAAAATTGTAAATTTTAAACGTTCTACGCGCTCTTCTGCATATTCCGATGAGTTTTAAAGAAAAAAATCACATTTATTCGTGATAACTTTGATATATTGCTTTGCAAATGGTCAGTATGAGATCATTTAGTAATGGTGTATTTAGGGGTAGTCAGGAAGGGTGGCACTCTCCTACCAGTGAGAAGAAACGATTAATAATTATCTTGAAATCTGTATCTTTTTTCTAGCATATTATATAGTTCTAGAAATTCAATTGGCAAGGAATTGGAGCGCCTTTTATCTCAAATAGAGTTTTGTTTGAAAAGTAAATATTTCTGTGCGAAAGAAAAGGGTGGGCATGTGAATCATAGTTATCCACTGCTTAAATCTTTTATGAGTTTAGAGTAAAACACAATATAAAAAGTATAGAGGATATTGGTAGTATAGGCTGTATACGGGTTGTAAATGGCTGATTAGCGGTCGAAAATAAGTCAAGTTTTCACGATTTGATCGGCAAGAACATGTTTAGTGAAGATAAAAAAGATAAGAATGAAAATACAGTTTTATATCAAGTGGATAGTTTTTAGCGTTTTTTCAAAGACTGTGTGAAAATAATGAGAATTAGATTTTTTTCTACAAGCAGTGATTTTTATTATTGATATGCTATTGACCTAGATTGTGTTAATCAAGTCTTGAAATTCAAATTTTGATATGTTTGACATAGTTTTCTAGCTGTTTTTGTTTAGAGAACCACTGTTTTCAGCTAAAGTTATTGTTGAAAACAGTTTAATACCTGCACATTAGAGAATGCTGTTTTGTCTTCGACTCCCAGAAGAAAACCTTCTCATCAACACTTACGTGGTTCACAATCTATTTCATGGAGTTCTTAGTTTTACGAAATAATAAGTATGGGCATGGGGTATTGGTGGGATTATGCGTATGATGGCATTTGTTGGATGTGGGTTTAGGTGTATGTGTGAGTGTGGACGAGCTTGAGGACTTCTATTAACTCACATTCCACAGCCTCATTCACGGCTATCCACACATGCATAGTTATCTTATTGATATTCTGAATGGGTATCTCATTTTATTTTAAGTTCAAAATGAAAATTATAGAACTTATAGCATATAATCAGTAAAATATAATTTTATTAGAATAGCAGAGCTTAGAACATACTATGAATATTTTAATCATTTATCAATCAAGAAAATTTTATAAATATTCAAAAGAATGATTCGTCAGTATACATCTCTTTTCGATGTTAGGCAAGATAACTAGACATGAAAGATCCTCAAGATATTTTTTTGAATCATCGTCATCTGTCATGGAGTGAAAAAAATAATGTCTAGTTTATTGATTGATTAAGAATCAAGTAAACTTAGTTTGCTTTATTCGTATGATGGTGTTCTCTAACAACAATCAAACAGTTGGCTACGGATGTGTTGACGAGGGAATCATTTCAAATGATTAATTCTTCTTGCGATCAAAATCTGCACAAATGTAGATCCCAGTCAGGTATGAAAACTTCGCTATAGGATAAGTATCTTTAAGGATGCCCTCCAAAGTCATATCAGTTTTACTGTAATTATAGCTTATGACACAGTGCGTGCTAACAAATCAAATGATAATATTTCCCGTTGAAAGTTTAAACTCAAAAGAATATTTCCTTCACGAAATATTGAACTCTCAAAAGTCACGCATATTCGAGAAAAGGTGCCATAATTTCATGTTTTCTTTTAAATTAAAATTGCCAGAAGATCCTCATCATAAGTAGATATATGTGTAAGTAAAATTTCAGGTCAAAATAACGTCATTCGATTTGTTGATACATACTGTGTCATGGACTAAAACGACTTAGGGTGCTTATCCGTTTACAAATTTTTCATACCTCGCTGGATTCTATCCTATGTATAGTCTTCGAACTCAGAAAAGATTTATCAGTTGAAACGGTTTCCATACTTTTCTATTTGAATGTGTCATTGTTCATGAACTTTTTCTTTGTTGTTTGTCATAATATAGATGTTCGTTTTCAGCAATAAACAGCCGACAGGAGATAGAAGTTTAATAGGAAATTACTATAGATGAGAATCATTAGTTTGAACAATCTGAAAAAATAAATTTCTACTGATTGACAGTCGTTGCTCAACATTTGTAAGAACTTTGACAAACAGTTGTTGAACCGAATTCCTTAGTATTTTAAAAGTAAAACAAAATCAATCGTTTTCTGTTTTTGTTGAAGAAGAAAATTTCTATAGCTCAAAACTGTTTTAGATTAAAATTCTCGTAAAGAACTTTTTAATACGCCTTGTCTTTAACAAAAAAACTTTGTTACTTAGAATCTTTTCAAAAACGTACTTTCAAAAATAAAGTAAACATATTTATTATTGAAAATATTCAATGCAACATATACTTCTAGAACGAGCTGCTTCCCAGCAAATTTTTTCATACGAAAATGTAATAATAATCTGATTACAAAGAGATTTTTTATATGTTATACTTGTAAATCCATATATATATACATATTGTATATAGTTACGATCTATATAACATAATAGTAGAGAAGAAAAAGAAAGATGAGTGAAGGACACAATAATAATAATGAAAAAAGAAAGTAGAACATGTGATCATTTTATTTTGAAATCAAATTCGATTGCTGGTCATAATTAAATAGTGCATTAAATATAAATCCATCTATTAATTACATGTAAGGTCAGTAGATAGCCGAATATTGATTCTAGACAGTTTCTCCTATCAATAATACAGCACATTTGCACGTTCAATCTGAAGGATGATTTCTATTTCGGAACTCTTTCAGTAGCTTTGGACTGTTTTTTACAAATCTAAAAGAACAATACAAATAAGTAACTTTTTGTTCTCTACTCACGCACATCCAGTTTTTGATGGTAAGTCGATTTATTCAATCCACTTTTGCTTAAATCTATAAAGCATACTTAAGAAAGATGATAGAAAGTGATCTTTAAAATTTATATTGTCTAATAAACAACTGCAGTCAAGTGAAGAATTTTGATTGTTCGAGTAAAAGTTTTCCTTACCATTCTTGATGAAATGTGCTTTAGAAATCATTCATCGATAATTGTTTTTCATTTACAAATTATGATTTAAAACTTGAAGTATCCTTATGAAAATTGTTTTTTTTTAGTGTATTGTGTTGAGATACTGTTTCATTTTAGATATATTGTTTTTCTTCGTCGAAACATCGCATCACAGAAGAGTAATTAAATTGATCATTTATATTCATCAAGACACAGAGAGATAGAGAACTATTCTATGACAGCGATAGCTCAATCATCAGCAAGAGAAACAAGCGATTTTTATAATGCTTGCTCAACCAATGATATTCCTCAGGTAAAATCGTCTTTATCACGTATGACTTTGCATGAAATCAATCGAATCGAACCTAATGGAAGTACAGCATTGCATGTAGCATCCTATCATAATAATGCAGCTGTCGTATATCTATTAATTCAACACGGAGCTTCAGTCTCAATTCGAAGTAATTCAACAAATCTTACTCCATACGAAGAGACAACTTCCACTTATATAAAGCATCTTCTAACGAGTACAGGTAATAAAGCATGGATCGAGTGGACATTTGTGGATCCTCTAACACGTGAAACAAAGGAAATATTTGATACAGCATTAGAGAATACATTTCATGACATGGGTTTGTCATTTATACTCAATTATTTGCTTAATCACTATGCTCGTGGACATGTTGCTAAAGCATCTTCTACGTCAGCCAAACAAATTGAACGGTAAGTAATGCGTTTAAACAAACTTTACTTCTTAAAAAGAAGCATGAGAAATATTAAACCATTCAGCATTTAAGATGAGTATTAATGACGTCTTTTTGCTAGCAAAGAAACGATTCATTATAATATGGCACATATCAATAGCGTTCTTTATCGATATCGTATTTATCTAAGCATTAATTTTTTTTTCGTCAGAACAGTTACAGAAGTTTTTGGTATAATAGAGCACCATCTGAAGCATTTTCAGTGAATATCATATACGTAACTATTCTGAATTTAAGTAGAAAAGCTAAAAAGATGGGACTTTTTATTATTTCATTCATACACTAATTAGGTTTATCAGATTAACATTCGTTGTCAATTCATATTAACTAAGTTATTTAGAATAAATGCTGAGATTGTCTTTAGAATGTTTTTCAAGTAGAGTCATTGCTATTGAGTCCGTACATAACTGATCACTTGTCCCGTCAACTCTTTGAATCGAATTTTATCAGATAAAAAACCTGCGGCTTTCAATCAACATGTATTCTTTAGAAGACGATATTCGTTTTCAATCTATGTTTATAGAGTGATAGCTGTTAAATGAAAAATACACACCAGGTTTTACATAAAATGGATCGAACTCCAAATATCATCGTTAAATTAATGAGAAGCAAAGTGCAAACTAAGAAATAATTTTCCTTTTTAATTGCACATTAAAATTCAAAGTCATTTTTCAGATCAGATGAAAATATTTATCTTCTCAGAATAAATCTACTTAGAATTAAAAACTTTTCTAGGCTAAGAAATTACTATGAGTTTATTTTTACTTTTCGTATTGAATCACATAGATATTTCGAAGAAGCACAAGTGCAAACAAATTTGGCTCCTGTGATAACAGCATATACTGCACCTTCAATCTTTTTTTTTAAGATTGTCAGTAAACATTGCATTGAAGTGATTCCTGAACTGTTAAGAATTCCATTTGAACCACAGAATACCTTGGCTGCAAGTATTTTCTACTTAGTTGCTGCATGTAACTATGATCCGATGCTTCGACCAAAATATGCTTATATCGGTCATGTTTATCGAGGTCTAAGAATGAGTTTGGACTATTTTCGCACTTATAAGAAGGATGAACTGATAGTAAATCGACCATTCGTTTCAACGTCGAAAGAATATAATGTTTGTGATATATTTAATGGTTATGGTGCATCTAGTACATTTCGAAGAAGTTATGCTAGTCAAACTTCGTTAGAAATTAGCGTTCGCTGTACTTACAAGATTCGTCGTCCAGAAACACGTGCAATTGATATTACAAAGATGTCAGTATTTGAACACGAACAAGAGGTGCTTCTTATGCCTATAAGTGTCTTTCGATTGGTCAGCATTGACGTCGATGCGAATGAAAATGTAGCCGATATTGTACTTGAAGATTGTGATTTACCATCAAAATATGATCCCATCGCTTCAATGGTTCGATGTGATTTTGCTGAATTCCCAAATACTTTACTGGTTGTACCTTTCATGCAGGTATGAACTCCTATCAAATTATTGTCAGGAACTATTTAGACTGGTACTCAATTGTATCTGAAGGAAGAATTTCGAACGAAACATCCTAGAAAGAATTGTTACTAGGAAGCTTTTAATATGTGATTGATCTTCCTCATTATAAACTAAAGTTATAAAACTTTATAGAATTATCAGAGAGGCAATGGGATTTGAGTATAACTTTGACTTATAATGCGTCGTGATAGTTTTTACACGATGTAATAAACATTACAATTTTATTTAGTTGATACCCTTTAACTCACGCACTGCTTCGACTATCATTCCGAGCTCAACTGGTTGGAGAAGACGACTGGCCACCATCATCATCAATATGCCAAACAGAACTGTCATTATTCTAATCTTGTTAGCTATCATTGTTTTTATTCTCGTGGTGTTGGCTATTCTTCTACCAAACTTATTACGTACTCCATGCAATAACGGTTTTCAGACATCACCATTTCCACAGAGAAATACAAATAATCGAAATCTATTTCAATAAAACCAATATAAATAAGTATGATGATGTATTAACCATTATAACTACGAAGCATCTAAACACAAAGAAGTTTATTTCAATTTCAATCTATTATTTTTATTACTTTATTTACAATTTTTTCCAGATTTTATACTTTGTCTCAAGTTTTGAAATGATAGATGATCCTGTAGCATTGAGTGTAGCAAGATTTCTGCAGAAAACTCGTGTTTATGTAACGCTATCATTTGTGATAGGGTAGGATACGCATTCTTAAATTGTTACATATTGAATAGTCATGCGTATATTATCAAAATAAATGTCGACGACTGAAACGTTAATTCTACAACTGTTTCTATACATGGAGCAAGATCTATCTGGAAAAATACAGCAAAGTCTCATTATTGTCAACATTGTCGAGGCCATTCAAAAGCGTTTATTATAGGGAAGTGCTCGCTTTAGAGAGTTGATGCGTAATTTGCTGTGAAATAAAGAGAAAGTTCCAGAAAATCTGTTTTTGCATTAGTCCAAGATAAAGGGCTGACTATCTATTCATTTGTTTATCTATTGTCATCGAAATAATTTGAATGGACAGACTTCTGCGTTATATAACATAGAGCTTAGTTGTTTTCTTTGGATCTCAGTTATTACAATTGCTGTGGTACTAGAAACGTGTATATATATAGCTATCGATACATATAGCAACTCAACAGTAAAACTGCACTCCAAATACATGAGACGCAATAGAGTGACAATGCTTGTAGTCTAACTCCACTGTAGACTTCATTAGTTAGGGAGAAAAAAAAACTTTGTAAGTTGTGGTCCTCTCATTATGTTGCCTTATCATCGAGCTATATATATTAAAAATTGTATTGAAACTCATCAAGTCGATGTGCAGCTAGGAACAGTTAATTGGAAATATCAATGTACGGAAAACTAAGAGCAAGAATGAACTGAATTATTGCCGTAAAGATCATATCTTCAGTATAAATATTTATTTATTGATGAAAAATGTGTCTGCTTTCGATTTCCTACTGGAATCAACATTAGACATATCCAGTTCGAAACTTAAAAACGGTTCCGACGACCGAAACGAAACCAAAACCTTTTCAAGTGTCATAGAGCTTTACAAAACTGTAAAAACATTTCTCAACTTATCATCATATCTTGAAGCGATTTCGATTTTGATTCAATTTTTAAAAACTTTTAAAATCCATTTTGTATTCCGTATTCATTCACATCCAAACCCACACCAAAGCGAAGCATGAAAAGAAAATACGAATTTAGTAAATCCTTTTGTATTCGAAATGATTATAAAATTCCTCTAAAGTATATTTTTTAAATAAATGACACATCGTCTAATCTTTCTTCATTATTTTTTGTATTCAATGTCAATAAATCTCGACACCATGAGTAGAACAAGAAAGAATTCACAAAAAGTACAACGTTATTGCACAACCAAATGCAATTTTTTTAATAAAAGAGACATTGTGTACGCAAAAAAGATAGAGAAGAGCATCTGAAGATACGTATATACTGTTTTTATAGTAAGAAAAAAAATTCTGAAATACGATTGATGGTCTCAAAACGTGTTATAAAAGAATTGAAAGCTATTGAAGATGCTTCAGGATGTTATAGTGCTACTATAGTTAATGATGATATATTTCATTGGGAAGCATCAATCATTGGTCCTGATGATAGTCCATATGAAGGTGGAGCTTTTCGTCTGGATATTAGAATTCCATCTGATTTTCCAATTCATCCTCCACGAATTCGATTTAAAACAAAAATTTATCATCCAAATATCCATTTTACTGGTGCTATCTGTATTGATATTTTACAATCTCAATGGAATTCTACATGGTCAATAGAACAAATTTTATTAGCTATTATTTCATTATTAACTGATGCTAATCCTGATGATCCATATAATGCACGTGCTGCATTATATTATCGAGAAGATCGAGAAAAATTCAATGAAATTGCACGATATTGGACAAAAAAATATTCAATATAACTTTTTTACATACTGTGAAAAAACTATACTTTTATATTTAAACTTTTGATTTATAAAGCTTTAGAATTATTTTAATCAAAATATAATCTTCTTAAATGTCAAATAATAAATGTATTATAACTGAAGAGTTTTTTTTTAAATAGATATATATTATCTAATCGATTTGAAGAAATAGATTTGTAAATAAAATGATTGAATTAATTCGATTTAGGATGTAAAACTACTACGGAATATCAATCGATCTAATGTCTACTACTAATGATTATCTATAATCAAAATCTATTGACAATTCTTATAAGGATCGAAACGAATATCGAGTAATATATATTCTATGATAGTGTTCAATCTAGTTTACAAATTGAACAACTAAATTACGATTTTAAATTGATTTATAAAATATGTCTTGTTTTTTTACTATATGAAATGAATATTTTCTTCAAATCAGGTTTCTACTAAAGTAACAATAATCAAGTGCAGTGTTTCGATACATGAAAATTTTGTTTATAATTTATTCTTGATTTTTCTTAGCATGGTTAGAAAAATAAATAATGAAAGAAAAAAAAATTATCAAACTAAACTAATCTTGAAAAAAATTCCGTGTAGAAATCATGTGATACTGGAGCAGCTTCAACTGGATGTCGACATATTGGACAAGTATTTTTCATTCGTAATGTACTTAACATACAATCATAATGAAATATATGTGGTGTTTTTGAAACACATGGCCATTTAGAATATGAATCATTTAATTGAAATTCTTCTAAACAAATCATACATTTGAGATTATTTTGTGCCATAGTAAAATCAATTTTCTTATCATTATTATTATTTTGTATTCGAAAATTAGCAATGAATTGAGATGAAGCTGGAATAGTACGTTCAAATATGCGTTGAAAGACTTGTTGACGTTCAAGTTTGAGACGTTGAAAATTTTCTTCTTCACGAATGAATTTTTCTAATTGACTAAGACGTCCAGGTCTTGTTTGTATTGATTTTCGTCGTTGACGAATTTGACCATAAGTGATATTAGCAGGTGAATAGTTCCTATGTTGATAATTTTGTTGATATCCGTTTTCTTCTTCATGTTGAAGACGATATTCATACCTAAAAATAAACAACAAACATATATATATATGATATGTTAGTAAAGCACAGATTCTTAAGTATACCGATAATCTATTTTTACTTGAGAAATGATACTTTTAGCAAAAGTTCATTTGATCACTTTCGAAATTCTAAAATTTTCATTGCTTTTACAAACAAAAACATTGTTTTTTCTTGGTTTCTATCAATTTTATGATTGATTTCTGCAGATAATGAATACTTCGCGAGTTCTATAGAGTATCAGTTTTTTTTTTCGAAACTTAAAGGGCATAAAGGTTTGAAATAAATATTCTGGTTATGTGGATTGATAGATTCCTGGAGATACTACCATATGATACAGAAAACGTCTTTTTATTCATATCAATTCTGTTAGTGAAAACCTATCTGAACAATGAGAATATACATTTTAATGCTTGAGCTGTTCTCTGTAAAATCGCGTTAGAACAAATACAGATTCGCTTGCACTTATTGTTCACAATGACAAATTTGTTAAATCAAATTTCTTAGTTTTAACAACCGAACACGTCTGAAAATAATTGCATTATTCTTAAGTAAACTAAGTGTTTTGCAAAAAGTATGATCTATTGAATATTCAATGGACTACCTACTGAGACTTATACGGAAACTGAAGGAGTCAATTTTGATCTCAATACGTGAAATACATTTTTTAGAATGTCTCGAAAGATTTGTTTCAATCATTGAAGATGTTTCAATTGTTAATCTAATCTACTACTTCTAACTGAGATACTTCCTAAACAATACTTATTGAAAAATTCTATTCAAAATGAAGTGAACTTGCTAAAATACTACTAACGAGGATAGATATGAAGATAAATTATTAGAAAACTTTGCCTCGTTCATTAATAGTAAGTTACATAAGTGTAGTTAAGAAAAGAATTACTTACTGTTCCTTGTAATGTTTACTTATTTGTATTAATTCTTCATGTAACCAATCAGAACAATTGTGTTCATTTGGTGGCATTGTTGGCCATGGAATCCAAGATAAATCTTCTCCGTAGCAAATACCTTCATATTCAGTAATTTTTCGTATGTCAGTCACAGGACAAACAATAAATGGAGATAATTGATCTTGAACATTTAAATTTTCATAAAGATCTTGTTTCAAAAGAATTACAAATAAATGTTCAGAATGATTTTCAATAATAAATAATTGATTGTTATAGATATGTTTACTTTGTCGAATAAATTTATCTAATTGTAATAATTGTTCATGTGGTGGGTTATCAATATTTAATAACCAAAGTTCTTCTAATACACCGGGAAGTAAATCTAAAGAAAATGATAATAATCCAAATTTATTAAATAATTTAAAACGAATTATATTTGAGACATAAATTATAAAATTAAATAAAAATTTCAATGATAACCAAATTAGAAATAATCCACAAATGAATAATTTATAAAATGAGTAATATTGAAGTGTTGCATTCAATGCTATATCATATGAATAGAATATATGATCTCGAGTTGGTAGAAAAGCTTTTTCGCGAACTGGTTGATATAAATATCCAATTAGAATTCCACATTTTGTTAATACAGCTATATTAAATTGAGTAGAATTTGCTGAATATTGTTCATTTATATAATTAACATATTCAGATTTTTCGACCCATGTTCGATATGTGAACGCTGAGTTTAATGGAAGACTTCTAACAATACATTGTAATGTTGAAATTGAATATGAACGAAAATGAAATGGAAGTCGAGCTCGCGCATGTTTTTGCCAAATAGTTGGTAATTTAACATAGATTCTTGGTTTTTTTACACGTTTAAATGTTGCAATATGATTTCGACGTGTACGTGGATCAGAATATACTCGAATAGTTTCATATTTAGTAAGCGGATTTTGGATATTATTTTCACCTAATTCAACTTGAATATATTCTTTTTTCCAAAACCATGACTGATTATTTTGATAAGTTTCTACATGTTTAATAAAATCTTCTAAATTAAGATGAAAAGGACCCAAGAAGGAATTATAAGCATAAATATGTCCTTGAAAAAATATCACACTAATTAAAATAAATGTTATAAGGAAAGCAAATGAATATAGAAAATGTTTAACATATCTTGGTTGGTTTAAAAGACGACGTTCAATACTTTGACGATCAATTAAATATATTAAAGGATATTTCGAAGAAGGATATAATTGACGATTTTTATTTGAATGCAAATAGAATGATGTTTGTTTGAGTTTTTCAGTGTTTATGACCATATTTTCCACAGATCTAAATGAAATATATGTTCAACTACCAACGTTATGCAATTTAAAATAAAACTTTTTTGAAATTCAATTGGAACAAATTTTTTTAAACTATATATTTACTTTAGAATAAAATAATACTGAGATATTATTTTTTCTTATTTGATAAAAAAGCTACTTTGTGAAAAAAAGTTAGAATCATTTATCCTTTGACAATGTTGCATGGTGACATTGTAAATATTTTTCTTTTTTCGTTGGAAAAATTCAACATTTTTTTTTTCTTCCTTTCTCTTTCTTTTAAAGGTAATCGGTAACAGCAGCCACCGTATAAATTCTTTTCCGATTAATCATCATCACATAAATGTAGGTTTTTTGCGAATATAAAAATAAATGTATGAGTTCGCTATATGTAAATCATTATTAGATTTGATAAAATGTATTAGATTCAGCAATCATAATTGACGAGAGTGGAATATTTCTACGTGAGTTTTGTGCTTGCTGAAGTAACTATCAGTCTTAATCTTAGATTATTTCCTATACAATCGATTTTCGAAAGAAACGTATCTAAGAAAAACCCATATGAATTTGATTACTGTTTTAACACCGTTTTGTTTTCTTATGGATGAAAGACAAAGAACAGTTAGTCTTTCTTATGGCTGTTAACATGTTGAATATGGTTATTCATCAACGAAAGGAAAAACTTGTAAACTTTTCACTTCGAGATGAAGTTAATGATCAAGTTTATTATTAACGTTAATATTTGACAAGATAAGATAATATTCTCAATAGATAAGTTTTATGCTATTTATTCGAGAAATCTTATGATAGAGAATGAACAGTTATGATCTATGAATGCTTGTTTATACGACAAAGATAGCACGGCCTTGTTTGTTTAATGGCACAAATATTTGCAGATGTTCAAAAGGTATTATTGAAATTCGTACGCGGAGATAACCTTCGTTTATAGTAGCAAAAAAAAAGTCTAGTCTTACAGTAAGATCTCACTCTATACTGTGGTTGGATGTGATTGTTATATTTATGTTTTGTACTCTTATTATGAATTTATTGTCATACATGTTCCTAAGAAAACTTATAGATAAACATAATAAAGTACAAAATATATTTCTATAAGAACTGTAATAACATTTTTCGGTTTTGTAACGTTAAATACATGAGTTGTAACTATTGTATTTCTCAAATTTATCAGTTATCTCATGTTTTTATTTAAATCTTTTTCATCTGTAAAAAGAAACATATTTGTTTGTTCAATCATATCAATTCTACAGCATATTAAACATAATCATTCAGTTACATAAATTTGCACAAATTTATTTTACAAAGAAAATATTTATAGATAAAATCTAGCAGTAATTACCTGCCAGATAGGTTCTATTCGAAATCAATTAAAGCCAAATTTTTAAGTCATTTCCAGTTTTTTCCGCACGAAATACTTTATTTGATGATATTTTTCCTAAAAGTGTATTTCGTTTTAACCATTCTTGTATATCACGTGTCATTGCTAAAGATTCAATTTCTTTTTCCATTTTTATACGATCAATATAATCTTCATCTAAATAATCTGGAATATCTTCTAATACCATTTCAAGATGATTTAAATGTTTCATATATACAAGACATAAATTTACAACTTCAGTAGTATTACAATACCAATCAACTTTTATTGACAATAAAGTTAATGATGGAAATAAATGTGCGAGTTCAGAAATAAATTTTTCATCAATGTCACCTTCTGTATATAAATAACATTTTTTAATTTGTTTTAAATATTTTTTAAGTGGTCGAAGAAAATCAAGAACTAAATCAGTCATATTTTCTACCCAATAAAGAAAAAATCCAATTGATTGAAGATTTGGAGATCGACGAATAAGTTGTTCAACAAATGTAATTAAAAATATATTATTCATATTTAGAAATTCTCCTAATAGATCAAGACTTCGTATATGTGAAAAGATATTATGATCGGGAAAACATAATGATTCAGGAAATGTTGAAAATATTTTATCATCATCGATAAATAAATCATTATATAAAGTTATTTCTTGACTATACTTAAGTTTGCTTGCCAATTGTGATCCAGTCATATTACGTAGTTCTTGAATATCCAGCTCCAAAGTAGACTATTAGTGAAAAATGAAAATTGAATTAATATTAACATATTATAATCGATTTAGAAATAATTATTCTGATAAGATAACTCAAATAATAAATACTTATGTCACAATCAAAATTAAAAATATATAAAATGTATATTTTGATAATAGTCATAGCTATCAATCGAAAGTTTTTAGTAATCCAATGAGAAGATTTCATATTATCTATATATACAATAATTTATAATGTAAAAGTAAAGAACTAGAAAAATATTGAAGACATCGCTCATCATCGTGTATTGTTTAGATAAAGTTTTTTTGTTTTTGACATGTTGCGTTGAATCTCAAGAGCTAGGTTTCACCCCATTTAGATGACTATCATGTACTTTTTTTTTTTTGAAATACAAATCAAACCTATGAATAGATAATTTGGTTATTTTCAAAAGAAATTTTTATCACTGAATGTTAACAAACTATTGGAAGAATTTGTAATGATCATGAATACTTCTTTGTAAATCACTTACGTCATTTTTCATATGATTAGGATTTTCATTGTTATAATAAAGATGAATATTAATTGATCGATCGGAAGTGCGAGAAATATTTGCAATAATTCGTACAAAATCAGTTTCAGTACCATTCGATGAATTTATAATAGATTTAATCGAACAATCTAAATTAATAAGATTATAAAATTCAATACATAAATTACGCCATTTTTCTATGTTAATATAATCAGAATTAGCAAGTTCTTTTTGATTCGTTTCGAACTTTAATGTACATGAGAAATTCTGAATATTTGGTATATTGTGTAGTATGGATATAAATTGATTAAATGATAATAGTTCAGGATGCCATCTGGCTTGAAAACGAAAATCGATCAGTGATAAACATTGAATTTTTCGTTGATTAGATAAAACATTGCAACTGAAGAAATAAGAGTTTTATTTTTAACTAGATATGTAAATTTATCTGTATCTTTTTGTTTTTCAAAGAAAAGATAAATAAAGAAAAAAAAAGAAAAACTTGTCTTTTTATAGCATTGACCAAAAACAATTCTCATCGCTTTCGTAAATAACACTATAACACGTTATGTTATTAAAAAACTAAAATATTATATGTCATGATAAATAAAAAGAAATTATGTGCAACTCTTTTGTTCGATATCTATCTTTCTTTACTATTGTGGATGCAATAGAATAAAGGAAAAGATATGCGATGAAAATCGAAAATCTTTATATCATTATTTGAATGTAACTAAAGCTAAAGGTGAATCGATGAAAATGAACATAACTACAATTAAGAAATTGAGAAGAATGAAAAAAATTGTTTAGTCATCTATTTCCTTGATGATATTGACAACACTCCATATGCTAAAGTTCATTCATTTACAATTAGAACACCATGTCATCTTCTTTCTACTGTATATTTTCATATAAAAGACAAGTTTTACATTATTTTTCTTGATTTATCTTAATCTTTATTTTTCATAGTAAGACTAAATTAACACATCTAGTTTCAAATTGCATCAAATACATAAACCATATTCGTGAACATTATTACATATGAGAAGATTTTAAAAAAATCTTTCTATTTATAAAACTCTAAGAAATATTCTTATTAGACAAATTTGAGAAATCTTTAATTTGATAAATCTATGCAAATAATTTTTTATCAAGAGATCAAAATTAAGAAGGAAATGCGCCATAGTTTCCCCAAAGATAGATTAGCAGACAACGAAAAGAAAATTGTTTAGGTCTATTGGAGAAAAACAAAAATGTTTTAAGATTAAGAAGAGATTATTCTTTTACTGCTTAGGATATCTTTGACTATACTGCCACTTTTTGCTTCCTGCAATCTTTTTAATAATATCTTATTCATCACAATATGAATTTATTGAAAAAAACGATGAAACCTCCAAACAAAAAATAAATTAGAAAAGTTCCATCAAAAATAGACAAAGAATATCAACAAACCAAGACGACAACATCTGAACCCTTTCAGACCCATCACTCAGTCACTGGATGAAATTTCTTTGAGATTCGATATTTAATATGGGCAGCGTGTATTATGGATATTTTCGTCCAAACTTTTTAATAATCTTTCAAGTCATTTTCGATCCATAGCCGTACCTCTCTACGGGGATGGCAAGAAGTATTTTGAGCATCTCCGTGGGGGAGTACAGGCGAGGGTCAAAAATTACCTGAGTGACCTCATGAGGGTTATGAATCGTATATAGATATATGTGCTGAAGTCTCTTCTATGTCATAGTGAAAACCGCTTCTCGATATCTTTTTGTATTCGCGAGTTATTCAAAGATCATGAGACTTGAAAAAACCGTACTATATTTAGTACGGTGGGCCTGAAAAGGTTAATATGAATTTCTTTTCACAAGAAAATATAAGAAGTTTTATTCAATTAATTAACTTACAGATTTGTCGACAATGCTGTTAATTGTTTCAAATAAACATTTAAATATTGTAGACAATCAAAACCAGTGAAAATTATGAGAAGATCATCAGTATTTTCAATTTCAATTGTTAAATGTGTAATTGTTTCATTATACACTGGTGTTAATTTTAAATATCCAGTTCCAGTTAATGAAAGCTTTTCTAATGCTAATGCATCACGTTTTCGACGTTTTGGAATATGATCAAAATAGATAAAATTATCTGTTAACATTTGAGTAATAAAAGTACATAATATTGTTTCATTCTTATTTTTGATAAAATTTATTTTTAATTCTTTAAGATTTTTTAAAATAGAAATTAAAGGCAAATAAAGATCTAATTCATCATCATAATGATCCATAAGTGTTAATCGTTCTAAATTTGGTAATATATGCGTAAATGGTTCAATTTGTTTTCGAAATAAAATAAGCTGTCTTACAGCTGGTGCTGCATTTGAAAGAATAATTGAACGTACATTATTACCAAAACTAAATCGTATCATTTTACAAAAGAAATAAAATTGACGTAAATTTAAACAACGTAAATCAATATTTTGTCGATATTGACTTATTGTACAATTTAATCGATAATTTAAATCATTAAATGTTTTAATTATATGAAATGGACTCAAATATGAACAGATAATCAATAAAACTTCATCGGGTAATTGTTCAAACGACATACTAACTATTTTTTCACTTGATGATGAATGTTTATGGCGCATGGAATAGAATCTTCCTTGCAAATAATGTAGAAACTAAAAGACAGAAAAAGAAAGAAGAAAAAAAAAAAAAGAAATGCTCTCGATAAACGTGTGTTTGGAAATATATGATGAAAACAAAAAAACAACGACGTCCTTATGTTAACCTTGATCAAAAAACTACTCGTAATTGATTCTTTCGTTCTGTTGTTGTTTTATATAAAATCTCTACTTTATCAATATAAATTCTTTGAAAGATTCTCATGTTAATGATTATCACAATATAGAAAACAGATTGTTTTTTTAGAATGTCAGCTCATTATATGTCACTCGTGCTCGAGAAAAAAAATAATCGAGACAATCTAAAAACAGAAAAGAAACAAAAAAACAACGTGCATCGCAATAATAATAACATCTTATTTCATGCAAGCAAGCATATATATATATATAGTATGCGAATGAGAATATTTTCTTGCACAAGGGAACTTGTTTCTATGAATGATTTTTGTTTTGAATTTTTTCAATGGTCAATGTTAAACTCTAGGAAATAAATTTACAGCTCTTATTTTACCACGAAGTAGATGATATTTATTATAGATAAGAGATCTTCATAAATGATTAATATTTGTTGACAACAGCATCTTATATTGTAGGAACTAATCCATTGAATTATAAATATAATAATCTCATATTAACCTAGAAAAATGTACTTTTTCGTTCTTTAATTTATTTTAAAAATAATATGAATCAAAAAATGACATATTTTTTTCTATATTATGTATGAGTCGTTAACAGACAAGTAGTTATTACAAAACTGATTAAGGTAGATATAAATAAAATTGATCGATTTATTTGAATAGATGAAATTGCATGATTACAATAATCTGTATTACAACAATAACGTCCAGGAATTGTAATACTTGCATTGCAAGTGAAACTATCACCTATATAAAATAGATATATTTGAAAGAGAATATAAAAATAAAATAAATTTTCGTACCACAACCACGTTCAGATACATCAAAAAAAATATTATTTTTCTAAATAAAAAATTAAATCATCGAAAATTTTCATAGAATAAATTATTCAATCTTACAACACAAAATGTTTCAGAATTTGAACATTGATATTTGTTTGCATCAATTATACAAGATTCTTTTGTTGTACATGCACTATGTTTATAACATAGAATACCTATTGATTATGAATAAATCAGATAAAATCATTTCGTAGATAAATTGTTTGATTTAATTTATATTTAAAAATAAATAAAACTATAGATCGAACATACCTTCAGTAGTTGATATTGATAAAACAATCAGAAAGAATACGATTAAGAAATATTTCATCATTCTGATTATCAATTTTATCAACTTTTTCTAGATTTGTACTTAGCAATAGATCTAAGTACCTTTTATAGGATTAATCAACTATTATTATTGTATTTATCAAACGTAGGATAATCAATATTGATATGTGTACCTATTTGATACAATCATTGTATAACAAAGATAACAATTGCGAAAAAGAAAACATCATTGATCAGGTTTTTTTCGTATTTATCAAAAGCAAATTTAATCTGATCTTCAATTCTTTGTTATTGACATTCAACAAACGTAATAAAGATGACACATGAAAATATGTTAGTCATTTATTTCATCTTTATAATTTATTAGATAAAAAATTCTATCTGTTTATGTGTATCAGCGTAAATGTTTATTAATCGTATGTGGCACATAGAAAAATTTAAATCAACAAAAACATTCAAATGATCAAGATAAATATAGAATGCATGAAGAAAAAACAAAATATTATTTCATTACTATTCAAATATTCTTTTTCATGAAAATATTTCTATCGGAATTTTTCTTTTAATTCAATTTCTCTCTGTATTTATAAATTATTCTTTTTATCTATATCATTATTAGTTTGTATATTACATTGATGAATAATGAATAAAATCTACATTTATACATGATTTATCTCTTGTTTGCCGTTTTTTTTTTTAAAATGAATAGAAATTAAACAACATTTTAAGACATTTCAATATCGTTCGATTGTGAGTTCTCATTGTTAGATTCTGTTACGAATAAACCATAATCGATGATTTCTAATGAACGAAAAAATTGTTCAAAATCTTGTAATGTCCATCGTGAAGCATTTTGATTTTGTTGATCATTGCTACTACTTTGTTGACTAAAATTAGATCAATTTTTTTTAATTTAAGATACAGTTAAAACTAATCATAAATATATACTTAATAAAAACTGGATCATTGAATGAAATAAGAATATCTGTTGCAAGATCACCACCCAAACGAAGAAGACAAACATGAATGTGAACTAGATTTTTTGCTTGTTCATGATATTTTGATACTTGTTGTCGACCAAATAGATACCAAGCTGAAGTTAATCTTTACAAAGAAAAAAAAGAAACAAAGCAATTTTATAAATCATTCGGAAATTCATATAAAGAAAAAACAAAAGTTAATTATTACCGTTGAACAATAAGTGTATTGATTGGAATTGGTTCGATTCTATCAACAATATGATCTTGGACACTTTTAGCATCATTTGCTTCAGCTAATGCATCAAAATGATATCTAAATTTAAAAATTTATATTAGAAAAAAAAAATACAAGAATAAATATTCTTACTTAATAGAATTTTCATCAGATACTTCATCAACTCGTTCAAGAATTTCAACAATTATACTTTGATCTGATTCAGCATGCATAAATACTTCTTGATTATTTGGAACAAGTCGAATTGAACTAAACAAAAAAAAAAAAAATAATAATTCGTTTTTAAATTTCATCTTGAATTTTAAATATAGATATACCTTGCATCAATTGCTCCATCAGGTAAAAAAGCTTGAATAGCACCACCAAATAAAGGACGTTTAATACGAGTCATATCGAGTAAAAATAAATAATAAAATTTAAAATAAATATATCTAAAATCATAAGTTTTAAGATCAAATCGAATTCTCTTTCTAATAGAAATCTACGAAAAAAAAACAAAGGAAAAAGAAAACAAAAAAAATTAATTTTTAGCAAGTTCTTGTTTTTGTTGAAGTTCTTTTTCTGCTTGTCGTTTTTTTAATTTTTCATGATAAGCTTCAAATACAGAATTTGAACCAGGTTGTACATTTTGAATTTCACGACGAATCTTAGATAAATGATCACGATTATTATATGTATAATTACGAAGTATAACAAATGTTGTTAAACCAGTAACGATAACAGTACCAATACCAATAAATATATTGCGATGTTTAGCATACATATGTTGGGATAATAACGACAGAGTATCATATTCAGCTTTATTAGATGGTGGTCGATAAAGACTCATGATGTTTAAAACAGAACAGTAAATATCTGAATCATAAAATTACGTAAGTAACATGTCATGATTGTGCAATTCAAGAAAGACAAAAAAAAAACAAACAGAAAATATTACATCAAAAATTCAGTAATTGCTTTCATAGAGTGAAAGATTAATGTTATTTAAAATGGTTATGTTTTCAAATTAGCCATTTTCAAAATAATAATTAATTGAAGCTTTTTCAAAGCTAAACTTCATGTATTTTTATACTTCGAAAAAGTTTTATTTATATTTTTTTTTTGTTCAAAATGATTCATATGTAAATAAAATTTCTTTATGAATATTTCTAATTAAAATAAAACTGTATCATTCAAGCATAATTACTTCATATAATATCTTTGAAAAACAGAACTTCTTAAAAGTCAATATAATAGATGTTATATTTTGATATTAAAAAAAAACAAAACAAAAAAAAACCATAGAAACATTTCATTATGTTTATGCTAAAATTTGAATTTTTGAAAGAAATTTTTAATCAAACAAATAAATAAGAAAAAGAAACATTTCTCTTTTCATTCGTTCATGTCTATATGACATTAATACATCTTTGTTCATTAAGCTGCATATGATAATTGTGAATATGTACTCATTGAAAGAAACAGAGAAAAGTTATTTAGTTGATTCGTCAATATTGTAATTAGGTACAAGATCATTTCAGGCAAACGTATCGATTGATGCATTACAATTAGTGAATGATATTCTTGAAGAAAAAAATTCCACAAATATCTTCAAACAAAGTTCTCACAGAAAGAATATTGATTTCGTAGAAATTCAGTAACAAGAAATCTAACAATATCTACTGTCTCTATTATGAGAGATAATCAACAAATAGTGGATATTGATCATGTTCAATCACTCACGACAATGTATATATTCATATTTCTACTAGAAAATGAGGATTCAATCGATCGTTCTCGGATGGGAATCTGTTGGTTCTTGTTATAACCGATTGCAATTTCATCTTATACCTCTACTAATGTCCAAAGAAGGTGCCGCTAGTAGATTGATTATCTAAATCTTTCTATTTGATTTACGGGACACGAATATGTTACTTGCAAAAATTAATTAGACAAAAGATTGTTTTGTTATTAGTATGTTGTCTTGAATCAAGACATTAGCTAAAAGATAATAAGCCTTATTATCATTTATCAATAATATCACAATATATAAATGGTAGATAAGAGTTTGTTGAAGGTAAAATAAGGTTTGTGTATATAAGGTGCCCGCAGCGCAAAATTCAAGTAAAATTGTTTTTTCGCGTTGTTTTCAAATCATTTGATAGAGCTTGAGCTGCTGATCACGAATATTTACTTTTTAGCCTCAGCAAATACTTTCTTCCGGTCGAAAAATACGAAATACTCAAAGGATGCCGACTTTTTCAAAAAAAGCACATCTTTTTGGAAATGTGAAAAAATTTCCACTTTCTTCTTGTTTTAAGGTTCTAAGAATAATTTTTTCAGATTCAGCATGAAAAACCGAATAAAAAAAAATTGTTAAATCGACTCTAGCCCCAAAACTGTATTAGTGGTGACGCTTCAAATCACGTCGAGTACACTACGTATAGGTCGATTTTGTAAACCTATCTAGGTTTTTTGTTTACATGAGAACGTCAAATATTTTATCTCATTCGATTCATCATACCATCAGTTACAAAGGTAGGTATTCTTTTTTTTCCTTTTCTTTCCTTGGTCGAGAAAAATTGTTTTTACTAATTTCTGGTCCAAAAAGCTAGATTTCTGCCCGTATTTCTCAATTTTCTTCATCAAAACTAAGTTTTCAGGCAATAAGATTATCATATTCTGGATCAGCGTGAAAAATTACGTCGATATATGTATATTTTTATCGTTTCCGTTGACTTCAATTTTTTTCGAATTTTCACCTGATGCGGGAGCCGAAATTTTCAGGAAAAATTATTTGTTGAGGCTAAAAAGTATATATTCGTGATCAACAGCTCAAGTTCTATCAAATGATGTGAAAACAACGCGAAAAAACAATTTTACTTGAATTTTGCGCTGCGGACACCTTACTAATAATAAAATCCAAAAGATAATGAAAATATGATATGAAATGCGTCTTTTTTATATTTTTGCAGCTCTTTTTTTTATCATGAGCTGCTATCTACCTACATAGTAGAGAATTCGGCTTGTTGCTGCATTTTTAATATTATCATTCTTCGAATATGATGTTGTTAAGCATGTCTTCGACGATGGTTTTCTCTATAATATATTTAATAATTTCTTGTGGCTCAGCGTATGGATGGGGTGGCGATGGTCATTCTCTTACAGCTGCTATCGCTCAAACCTTATTGACTAATGACTCATTAAATTTTGTTCGTGATCATTTACCTTGGTATACATCAGGAAATATTAGTATGTTAGCATCATGGCCTGATTATATTATTTATCCTGATACGAATCCTGTTGATTATCTTAATTGGCAATGGTCAAAAGAATTACATTATGTTGATACAACAGATTGGTCATGTGTTTATGATCGAGAACAAGATTGTAATTGGAGTAGCGGACAAGAATGTGTTGATGGATCAATTCAAAACTACACAGCAAGATTAGCTGATACACAACAAGATGAAATACAACGAAATGAAGCACTTAAATTTCTTATTCATTTTATTGGTGATGCACATCAACCGTTGCATGCTGGTTTTCGAGGTGATCGTGGTGGTAATAGTATTCGAGGTAAAATTTTAATTATATCAAAAAAAAAAGGAATAAACATCTAGTTTTACGTTACTTGAAATAGGTCATTTTTTTGACAAAGAAACAAATCTTCATTCACTTTGGGATACTGTAATGATTGAGCGTCGTATTTCTCAAGATTTTCATTCTCAACCTTTATTATATCTTGATTATTTGATTAATCAGATGAAAACTCGTTATGCACAAAATATATCCGATTGGACACATTGTCCATCATCGGATGAGTCACGTTATCTGGCATGTTCTACATCATGGCTTATAGAAGATGCAAAACTCAATTGTGAACTTGTTTATCGTGATGAAAATAATCAACCAATGAGTGTTTCAAAAGAATTTAATCTTGGTCAAACATATTATAATACACGAATGGTTATTCTTGAACAACGACTTATTCAAGGTGGCTTAAGATTAGGAACAGTAATTAATAAAATCGTCCAATCGACTAATGATAACAATAAATCGAACAAGATGTGTTTTGCAACAATGATCCTCTTTCTAGCTCTTTTTTGTCTATCTATTGTAGTTCTTTCTCTGTTGACTTATAGTTTCGTACGACGAAAAAGAACAAGAATAGTCTTATCACCAATGATGAGACACAAGAGCGAATACATGACAATAGCTTAACTGATTCATTCTTTTTTTTTTGTGAAAAGACTTGAATCGAATGTATTAAACCTTACGTATATAATTTTTCAATAAATCTTTCTTGAATGCTTTCATAATGATTCTAAATCGATTGATTATAATTGTTGTCATTGTTACGATGACATGTCTATATATTACGCATTGTTATAGATTTGAAAAATCTTTTGAGAACAAGCTTTTAGTTTAGACTTATTAAATGGTTGCAATACACAATGAATGCAATGGAAATATTCGTTAAAGTTATTCTCAACCGATGAGAGTTGTTCTATCTAAAACCGAAACTTTTGTCTTTTCAAAAATGAGATACATTCAAAAACTATAAATGAAAGAAACTCATGATAATACATAAAGATTTTTATTATTTAGGGTAATTAGTTTCACTGATATTGACATGAAACTGAATGTATTATTCGATTATGGAATATTAACGAATACATTGATCATCATGCCATCATACGCTACACCACCACAGATTGCTCTCGCCCAATCATCGTTAATAGCAGAACACATTCGAATGTACGAAATATCAGTGGGTTCAATAAAAATCTTGGCTGTCTGGCAATTACCATCGAAGACATATTCAACATTGTTACCGATAATTGCATCACCAACACAAGGAGCAATCCAAGTTCCATCTCGACGTCGAACATCTAGAGAATATCTGGTACCTGTTATACGTTCATTCCAACGTAGAGCTATTTGTTTGGTAATGCCACCTGGTAGGTAAAAGGCTAATTGATCCGATACGCCATCATATTTTACTTCGACGAAATCTTTCCATATATTGTTCCTGGAATAAAATAATCTGAACGCAGCAATATCACCTTTATCTACTAATTGGTTACCACTATCCGGACATATACCAACATATGTTGTTCTTAGTGTTGCTCCTATGCGAGCTACACTAATACATGGACCTATTGCGGAGCCATCTTTCTTCACAACATCGATGGAATATTGGTATAAAGGAAGTTGAGTCCAACGAATATTGACTGTGTTCAATGTGTATATTGTTCCATCTGGTCGAAAAGCAAGACGTTGTTTAAAAGTACTTCTTTCAATCAGACGTCCTGTACTATCAAAAATACCTTGATGAAATACATTAAAGAACTGACCACGTCTCACAACTATAGAATTATGTCCATGACTTTGAACCAGTTTTCCTGCTGAGTTTCGTTGTGCAATCGAATGAATACGTACTGCACGTTTGCGTGTTAGGTCGGCAATAGTCGGTGCTATTACATAAGACATAGCATATTGACTGTCGAAGAATGCTGTACTTATGAAGAAATAATATTGTCCTTCACGCCAAAATACTTCAGGTGCTTCATTGATTTTTTCTTCACTGGAAGGAATAGAAAAAGAAGCGGGTCCAGCATTTGCAACCAAAGTAGATGGTGTAGCAAATGGAAATGCAGCTATATTATTTCCATCTGAGAACCATACATAAAAAAACCAACGATTATTCTCCGGTCCAACAACGGCAGAATCAATTCGAACTGTCTTCAAACATCCATCACTATTACAACCTGCGGCAATTCTTCCTTTAGGAGCCCCATTTCCAAAATCCACTAGCACCGGTACACTAAAGATGAGATTATCGTCAGAGGCTCTTGCGAAGAATGTAGTAACATCTTGTCCGTTTGCTGGACAATGTGTACCTTTCAATACACGTTGAGCAGAAAAGTATAAATCGTAACCGGTACCACGTTTTGAGAGGTCAGGTGCCCAAATATAACAGTAATGATACATAGAATCGGAAAGTGAAGGATTATATGTAATTTTTAGCTGAAAATTGATCAGATCCGTAGATTGAAAGATTGGTAAACTCATGGCATCAGAAGTACCCGTCAGGTAGAATAAATCGTCGTTTACTGCTAGAATATCTGGATCAGCAAGTCCAGGCATAAGCTGAGTGCGATGATAGAAATCTGAAGTTTGTTGATCGCAATTCATACCAGAAAAACCTTCATCACAAATGCAATTAGGTCCTTGAGTTGTTTCAATACAACGACCATTGTTACATGAAAGTTCGACACACTTGGACGTCAAACGTAAGATAGAGAAATTATCTTATAATTAAATAGTCATATACTGTACAATGTAAAATTTTGTAGATTTACCTGCAATTGTATTATTCTTCTTCGACTCGACAATAATCAAGAGAGCAGCAAAAACTAATAAAGACACGTCTTTCATACTTTGACCATATGCTTACTGAAATTATACTGAGGTAAATGATTGAAGCTCTTATGATTTGTTATTTGATATTTTTCATAAAACAAATTAGTCGACTACCTAAGCTGTTTTGATAGAGTAACGATCAAGGGTGTCATATGATATCAATGGCAATATATTTATCAAATACTTTGATAAGGTAGATTACATCTTTTTCTTGACAATGTTAGCAACAATAAATGAATTTTCGAAAACTATTTGAATAAAATCCTATGATCATGTAAAAAATAGGCATAGACAATTAAAAGTTTCATTCTACAAAAAAATTGACGATGAAATTTTCTCAATTAGACTCGTTTTATTGAAAAATCATTCAGAACCGTTTGAGTTTCTGATAAATAAAATGCATTATGTATCTTATTAGTATTGATAGTCAGATCATTTATTCACACAACTTGATCGGTTTGTTAATAGTGATTCACATCTTTCTTAATCGTACAAGTAATCCAAATGAATAACTGTAAGAGAAAGGATTTCTAATTGGAGAATATCAAACTATAAACAATACTTCTTTTCTTGGTCTGTCACAAAGGTATGTAAGAATAATTGAAGTGTATATGAAATAAGTATTAGTTGAAGGTTATTGACCATTCAACTTTTTCGAGAAATAAATGAATTTCTTAGGGTTCGAAATAACATCAATGATTCATTAGTTTTATTGTTTTTATTTCTATTTGAGATTTACTGACGTTTCTAGAAAGCAATCGAATTTGACTTCTGAGCAACTAGTTTTAGTACGTCTCTGATTGTAGTCGACTATGAAATATCAAGACGAAAGAAAATGAAAATACTACATAAAATGGTCTAGAAACATCCCTTTCACTGCCAATGGAAGCAATTCGTCTAACTATTATATAACCACAAGTCTATTGCATATTTAATTTAATTGCATATATATATTTAGTGCTTACAACATGTATTACAAATGTACTAGTTGTAAGGAAGTCAAATCGTTTACTCAACTTCCAAAGAATAAAACTGCATATTGCAATACATGCCAATGTTTGAGATTATTTTTGCCGAATATTTCGTCAGCCAGTTCAACGCATCCACCTATGAAATCTAGTGGATCAGCTTTCGCTGCCAGGCGAACACCTGAAAGATCAACTAGTTTCATAGGCAAAAGAACTGATTATTCAGATGTTGGGAAATATCGAAGTAATTTGGATCTAGCAGCGCGTTCGAATAATAGTCTAATGCGTTCTTCAAGCATGACAACATTCCAACCTTGTAGTTATTTCAAACTGTGTCTCGAGTTCATGCTCTCTTTGGGATATTCAAAAAAGCTTTTCAATAGAAAACATAATTGATGCTGTTGCGAAAAATGTTATCCAGCTAGTAGTCAAGACTTTTATGTAGAAGGAGATTTCAAATATGTCATTCCACGTGGTTGGGTCCGTTTCGGGCTCTATATTGATGATGCACAAGCAGCAGCTGAAAATATATGGAACAAATCGGTTGTAAGTTATCATGGCACAACTTCTGAAGCAGCGAAGTCCATTATAGAACATCATCAATTTCTTCCTCCAGGAGATCAATGTATCGGTGGATATGTCATTGGAATACGCAAAGGACATATTCCGAACAAATTTCAAGTATATACATCTCCAACCATCGCGTATTCAGGTGAGGATATCTATAGTCCATCTATTTCATTTCGTTCAACTTCAGGACAATCTTACAGAGCTAAAGTCGTGCTTCAATGTCGTCAACAACCTGGAACATATAAGATTCAAGTTGAAACCATTGGTGCCGATTACAGACGTATATGTTCCATTATTCCTAACAGCGAAGTAGAATACTTTACAGAAGTACGATCGTCCATCATACCATATGGATTGCTTATTCGAGTTTTTCAATAAAAGTGTATCAATATTTAGTAAATCAAAAAAAAAACATTTCTTTTTTTATCAACGGTCTTTTCAAATAGCCGTACACATAATTGTAAAATCTTTAGAAATATCTTAAATATCATATAAAAATAGATAATTGGCAATAACGACTAAAAAGTTTGTAAATGTAGAAAAGAGATTTTGATTATTCTATAAATATGGACAATTCGAGGCTAATCAAAATTTAAATTATCAATTTATCCAAATATGAAATAAGCAAATCATTATCACTCTTAAGTCAACATGCTCTGCACATTTTTATAGAGAAATTCATTAAGCAAATCATTTCAAAAGATTAAAATTTCATTACGACGTCGCACAAAAACTCACGTGTACAATCAAATGTACAACGTAACGTTCGTTTTATATTTTATTTTATAATTTTTTTGCTAGAATACAATGTGTCTATTAATCGCTATTCAATTTAACACTACAAGTAGCACAAGTATTCTGTTATAAACAGGACTGTATTTTGCTTCAACTCTTTGTTTATCAATAAACTCCAAAGACATAATTTGTTCTTTTTTTCGCAACAAATGAAAAAGTTTACTGATCCGAAATGAAAAAATCTTGAATAATTATGTTCGAGTGCACTAATCATTTCGACATTTTCATCGGAAATGAAATGATGAAAATAAATCATCAGCTTCTGTTAATCACTTATTTTTTTATCATCTTCAAGTTTTAAAAGCCAGAAGTATGTACTGGCTGCGCTCGAACAACTAGTATGACTTAGTTTTTGGTAGCTACTCCACCCTAATCTCTCTTATATGTTCTCCGAGTAGTGCCTCTATATCATACCGATGGTTAAAATCTATTGTTACGACTGTTTTTGAACAAAGAATATACAACAAATGCTGAAAGTTACAAGTACGAATTTCAATCGTTGACAAAATCATTCTTTATGAGAGACTGTTCGTTTTGTTACGTCATTTTTAATACTCATTTGTCAAATTTATAAAGTAAATCGTTTACAGTATTGACTAAAAATTATCCTAATAACAAATTTCAGAAGAGTATATCTAACTACGGAATTCGTGCGACAATTCACGAGTAAGTATATCGATCTGAAAAACAAAGTAATTTTGTACGTCACTAATAAAACATGAAGTATTGGCGTTCTGGGAATGTAGCTTATTATTTACATACGATTAGAACAAAAAAAGTAACCATGAACTGTGATTTTATTGTTAACTATAAAAAAATTATTTAATTACTTTATTATTAGTTTCTTACGAAAATAAAATAAAACTTAAAGTATTGAACACAATCCGTTTATGAGCAAGACTTGGAAAACTTCTGTCTTATTATTGGCAATATTTCTTATCACACGAGAGTTTTATTGAATAGGAATGAAAGTTTTTACTAATTCTGAGAGTTATCCGACAAAGAAGAGTTTGTCGTTCCAAACCATCTACATTTTATCCAATTAATTACAAAGTAAATCATGACAGCATAGAATAGCACAACTAAAATAGCAAACCACCAGGCTGTTTCCTTTGGCTGTCTTGTTCTATTTAATTGGTTTTGAGCTTTTTCTCGACATTCTTTTAAAATATTGTTTGGTATTAATTTAATCGACAAGAGAATTAACAATGGAACAAGAATAAGATCATCCAAATAGCCCAAAATAGGAATGAAATCAGGTATCAGATCAATTGGACTCAATAAATAGCCAAGGGTTATCATAATTGATAGTTTAGCATACCATGGAGTTCGTTGATCTTGATAAACGTAAGCCAATGCATAGCCTTCAAGTTTTATTGCTCGTACTTTTTCTTTAAAGTTTTCAAGAAATGATTTGATTTTTTGTCGTAAAATATACATGATTGATCGTACCTATATAAATATAGAATGTAAAATTATCGAGCAAGTAAGAGAAACGTACATACCATCTATATTTATATCATTATGCTGAAATGTTCTGCTTCATCACTTTTAACATGCATACGAATAGAGATAGAATCTAACTCGTTATTTTCGTTGTATTTAAAAAGGGAAAAAATGTGAACTTATTGTTTTTACTAGAAGAAACACATATCGGCCATTTCAATATATATTATCTATAAGAAAAGACTTCTACATCGACCATTGTGGAGAACACTCAAAGTAAACTACTAAGTACTGATCATATATAGTTAATCTCTACAGACAATTTGTCAGTTACTTTCAACATGTAGAATAGGAGAATCAACACACTTTAAATGCTCTCTTGACTCAAGGAATGAAGAAAACGTGACTGTACTCATATTGATCTGCATACATGTGTAAAATCAGTCTAAATTAATATCTATATAATAAATGTTTTTTCCTAATACGAGAGAGGTCCCTAAGTGCCAGTCAGTATTTTTAATAGAATCTAATAGAGCAGCAGTACATTGTGCTAGATGACATGGTCTGATCAGCATAGAAAATGCTTCCACATAAGTCGTTGTTGAAAATTTTCAATTTTCGAGATATGCTTATTTTGGTAATCTGTATTTAAGCAAAAAATACACCATCCTCAAGTATAATGCATGGTCATATATTGAATTCAACTAATACTACTTATATAAAAAAACTTTAGAAAAGTCACAAAACCAATCGATTTTTAATTGATTTAAATCGTATACTTTGCATCGATTGTTCTCATTATTGTTGATTAAAACCTGTTTAAAATCATGCACAAAAATTAGTTTTAATCGATTTCTTCATGATTATTAAATCTGTTTTTATCAACAGTAACTACAATCATCAATTAAAATTAGATATGTTTGATTAGTTTTTGATAGTAATCGA